GTGACCATGAAGGAGACCAGTCCTTAACTATAAGTCTGGGGCTTTTGGGGCTTCGGGCAGGCCGCATGTCGATGGCAGGAACCGTTCCCGATTCTTCGTGCTTCTCAAATGCAGGAAGCTTCGGAGCAGGACGGTGACATCATAGGCACGGGTCGTTGCCTGGTGTGTGAATCTGGTGTCGATCCGCTGTGCACAAGCCAGCGCAGGCCACGCACCGCACTTGTCCATTGTTTCTAGGCATTCGCTTGCCACATCAATCCGCAACTTGCGCGGCAAGCGTCCTTTTTCGAATGTCGAGCGCGTGTCCACGCACTTGACGTCGAAAAACCATTGCAGTCTAGAGCGTGGAGGGTGGGCAGCCATTGAGAGGCCTCAACATCCATGAGTGCCGGGACCTTCTCAAGCACCTGCAAGTTCAGAGAGCCCTACGCCCGCCCCCTGGCTCGAGGGATTTGCTTGCATGCTCCAGCAGCTTCCATAGTCACGTCTCCCTTTTGTAGAGCCATCCTTCGGAGTGAATGTTTACAGCTTCCTAAACTGCGCCAAGCGGCTCAGGCCAGGAGAAGCTGGACCGCATGGAGGACAGGATCAAGGCGGCATGCTTCTTGCCGAGCAAATGCATAGTAAATGACACATCCCCATCATCTGTTGGTAACCGCATCGCACGTGGCCCAGATAGCGAACCAAGAGCTCTACAGCCGCAGGGTCGAAGCGGAAAAACGTCTGGGGCCAGGTGTCTAGTTGCTGTAGTTGAGCCTTCAGCATCTGAGCTCCGCAAGCCGCACTCTTCGTTTGACCTTCATTTGACCTCCTGGCCACTGAGGCAAGCTCGAATTCTTTGCAGAGCAAGAGATCAACCGTCACCGGTCCCAAAGGCCAGTCCTTTATGGAAATAGTAAAAACCGTGCAAAACCTGCAAAACACTTTGAGATCATCTTTGATGCTTCAAGCCATGAACTTCAGCCCACCATGCCCTCGCTTGCTGTTACATGACAGGTCATTGAACAGTGGAGTCTGCACCTCAGAGTTGACAGGAGGGCGCGCGTGAAGCTTGTCCACATGCACAAGCCCCGCAGAGCCTTTTGGAAAGCTCGAGGGATGTTTGTGAATCGTAGGCTGCAGGCTGAGAGGTGGAGAATGCCTGCCAATCAGATGCCTGATTTGCATCGAGGAGCTGAGTGTCCACGGTGATCCTCAGGAAGAACTGGCAATGGCACACCAGACCCGTGTTTCTCAGCCTACATCTGTCCCGCAAGCTTACCAATCTCGGAACAGCTGCAGTGATGGCAGGCTCAAGAGAAGCGCTTTGTGAGCGCGCGAAATCTGCTTGAGCGGCACCTGCAGGCAGAGGTGCTATCAACTTACAGCACCCATGTTGCCTCTTGAATGTAAGAGGTTTTCATGCTGCATTCAGAAGGGAAACGGAAAGTGAACTCGAATATTGCGCTGCAAGCCACTTTCACGGTGCAGAGAAGTGTCCTTGTTCAGGCGCTACAGCTATTTGTCCAGTGTCAATTACAGTCGAGCATACCTCTTTTCTCCAGGTTCTGCTCTAGCTATGTTCATTGTTTTCCCTGGTACACGGTCTGCTGAGGAATGAGGAATCAATCCCAGAAGCCGCCTGCGCATTCGATGATAGAAGCAGACGCAGGAACAAGGGGGCCATTATCCTGATGGAAGCGCGCTGGCCATGCCGATCATGCGAATCAGACGCTGTTGTGCAAAAAGTTGAAAACATGTGGGTGTCGCGTCGACTCACTACAGGGTTGACAGCGAGCTGATGCGAAATAAGCATGCAAGAGAAAAGAGTTGACGATGCGCAAGGCTTCAACGCAAATGGGAAACCCGCGTTGCATCTCTGAGTGTCGACTCCCTTCAGACTTCTTGGCACGCGGCTACTAGGGCTAATCCTTTGGGGTGGCAACGTGACCTCAGGCTTCGCCTCAGTAGGGAACTTGTGGACGTGACGGAAGGTCTCCCAGAAAGCTTGGTCATCCGAAGTCTCAAGATGAAACGTACACTGTGCGCAGATGCTCAATCAGCCGCGCGGTGAGCGAACGCAGCGGGGCGCTAAGATCCAAGCTTTGCAGGCTGCTCCAGTCCTCATACGTAAGAATTCCGAAGTTGTGACTCGCCCAAGCAATAGGACATGTCAGCCAGCCAGGCAAACAATGGATTTCCTGCACGTGCGTTTGACCATGTTAGCCTCCTGAGGTTCGGCTTCAAGGCCTATGAAGGTGCACGGTCCATGGTCTTCAAGCCAGGGCCTTGGATGGCCCGCAGAGCTTGAGCTATGCGGTGCTGCCGGCCGCCAGCAGGTCAGATGAGGAGATCGCCGCTGAGCGTTTCACGCTCAGATTTTTTTTTTGTGTGTTCCGAGCCCAACTTCTGAGACTTCCTGCGTTCCTTTGGATCCCTTGCAGAGGTTGCTCCAGGGACACTGTTCTTGTCACCTATGCCGTGCCCCACTTCGAGAGGAAGCAGCATTTGACGTACCGAGTGGTCCGGTGCTCAAGTCAAAACCTGCAGACTGTCACACAACTGAGGGCATGAAGGGCTCAACTGGAAATTGGAGGTGAAAGCCACACGGCATGCAAAGCCTGAGTCTGCAACATTAAGGCGAAGGATACCACGGTCAGAAGTCTGAAGGAGGACGCCTGCGCGTCGTGTACTGAGCCCTGCTGACGGAATTCCTTGTGCCACTACATGCCAGTATTTGTTCGGGTCCTTGCAAGACATGAAAACCAGGAGCATGTGACTCGCAGCAATTCAGAGATCAAAGCTTCTCCTCCCGCGCCAACCTTCGCTGAACAATCCAGCCATGCAGATCTTTGTGAAGACTCTGACGCTTAGCTGCCGCCCAGTTTGTCATTGGAGCCTTCACAAGTAAAAGCAAGTACACAAACTGCACTATGTAGGAATGAATAGTCTGGTGATAGGGGCAAGTGCAAATTGCCAGGAACACGAGCTTGAATACAGCTCGGTAAATTCAAAAACAAACTCTGAGAGCAAAGGCAACTGGAGACGACTGTTGGAGATTGTTTTTGTGAGCACACTTATTTCAAAAAGCAAGTTTATGGAAACCATTTAGTGCCAAGGACACAAGCTGCTCGTAATGGAGTGTGTCAATGAGAGCCCGTGTTCTGCATTTGCTTTAGGCTTTGCCATGTTCATGTGCATGTTCAGCGTTCGAGTAACAGGCATAGCAAGCTCATAGCATCAAGTCTGGTAGTGGCAACGCCGCTTGCACCTTCTCAGAAGCAATCGGCACCTCTGGGATGCACACCACAAATCAAGATCCCAAAGCAGTCAGCGTCAACAAAAATATTTGCAGACAAAAAGATGCTGGGCTTTCCTTCCAAAACGTCAGCAAGCAGTCCAGCACCTGATGTGTTTGCTCTACTTCAGCCCCAGATGGGCTTTATAGTTTTTGCAGCCCTGAGTCAAGCTCACATAAACTAAGCGCACACCTTCAACCCCTACGCTGCAGGACTGGCAAGACCATCACTCTGGATGTGGAGGCAATTTTGTTTTGAGAGGCACCAAGCTTGAATTATGGAGGGGTGCACTGGGCGCGCGGAGGCCTCGGACACCATCGACAACGTCAAGGCCACTGCTTGTCAGTAGGCATTGGGTTCCGGCTGTTGGAACGGTCCAGCATGGTGGCTAGCACTTGTATGTCTACCCTGCAATGACTTCAATGTCGAGGCCAAGATCCAGGACAAGGAAGGCGCAGCGGGGCTGGAGGTTTTTCGTTCCGTATTTGAGGGAGGGGTATCATGGGTATGATGTTGCACGAAAGCGAGCTCTGCTTGTCGGGCGTTTGAGGGTTCATATTGGAGGGCCCTTGGGAAGGCATCCCTCCGGACCAGCAACGCCTGATTTTTGCCGGAAAGCAGCTTGAGGCTGGCGGGAGCAAGCGCAGATTATCAGCTTCAAACAAGTTTTGGAGAGTCAGACGTGAGCCCAGTGCTTGAACGGCATTCTAAATACTGCGCTGCCGCTGCCACAGTTCACAAGAACTAACCAGAACGTCAAAGAGACCTAGGCTCTGCAATGTTTGGTGCCTCAAGACCTGCAAAAGAAAGCCTTCTCAAGCTGTCTTTGCATGACAGCTTTGTGCTGCACGTCTCAGCTCGTTGACGAGATGCACTCAACTCATCGAAAGGATGGCCGCACCTTGTCGGACTACAACATCCAGAAGGACTTTAAGATGCAGGGTCCCTGCATGTTCTGGACTGCACTTGGCACGTGCTGGGGATTTCGCGGATGGACCGCTGTGGTTTCAAGAAGGCGTAGTTGCTGGAGTCAGCCGCTTTCCTTCTTTTTCCTGTTAGCATGGGCCATCGGGCGAAAGGATGTGTGCAAGTGTCCAAGTTCTGGACAGGGTTCAAATTGCATGCCACTTGGAAGTGCTACTTGTAGGTCGTTCCACGCTTCTCAACAGATCATCAGGATGTAGCAGGTTCTCTCCAGCCCCGCCTTTCTCGATAGACGTGTAGGAAAAGCGCTGTGTTGTCCAGGCACTGTGCCTTTGCACCTTCCCAGAGCATGATTGCGTTGAGGAGTCTACCCTTCACCTGGTCTTGCGTCTCCGTGGTGGCCACTGCCAGGCGATTGAGGGTAACAGATAGCAGCACCCTTTCTGATGTTATCCGTCTTGCGACTGTGGTTTTTTCCTAAGGATCTTTTAGGGATTCCTGCGGCTGTTTTCTCGTTCGCTGCTACCGCGCGGGCGGTGCTCCTCCTATCCATCCTATCCCTGCTAGTGCTGATACTGCCGAAGCTGCCCTGGCTTTTTGTTCAGCTGTCCCTTTGTTTAGCGGTACCAGCACCATCAGTCATTCACTTGGCGTAGCTATCGCTGTCGTCTTCATCCCGCGTCATCGAGTTTGATGCTTTAAAGTTGATCGGAAAAGTCGTCAAGTTCCACTCCTAGAATCTAGAATCTGATCAATGACAGCCATCATTCGCAAACAGCTGCGCAACTTGTGCTGGCAATGACCACGGCAGCTTGAGCGCCTGGTCCTGTTCTTCCCACTGGTGCAAGCGAATTCTTTCCATGTCGACGTGGCCTCTGCTTTCTGGCAGTCGCCGCCTTTACCTTAGAGGTTTAAAGAGTGACGGCGACTTGTTTGCCACAATGCTGTGCTGATCTTCAGCGCCCAATTTAGTTATCAAGGCCAGATAGCTTGGGGGTTCTTAGGGACCGTGATTGACTAAGAGCCAGGTCCCTTGCGGCATCTTCGATGACCCCAAGCTCGTGGCAGACGTGAACGAGGCTGTGGCCACGATCAAGAAGGCCAGCTGTTTTGGTGCGATCAGAAAGGGTCTTGCTTCTTGCGGGTCCCAGGTCCAAGCAGATTGCAAACCACCCTGCCAATCAAGGCCATGGTGCAGATTGGTGAGCTGTCAGCCTCAATGACTGCTCTCAACGTCAACCAGATGACCCGATGGATCAACACCAAGGAGGACTTACTGAGCGCAGCCTTCCAGTCGTGAGTTTGCAGGAGCAGCTTTCATTACTGTCATACTACCTCTTGGAACATCTTAGAGCTGCAGGGCCATTGCAAGCTTTCTGGCGCTGACTTTTAAGATGGCACTTTCACTCGGGTCTTTCTGGCGCTTCTGAGCAGGTGCTTGACTTTGCCAGCGCCCTTGTCCTAGCAGCCCCTGCCACGAAGCAATCCGTATAACTGCACAGACGAAGCATCGTGTTCAGGCCCTGGCACCTGTGACAACAGGCCTCTCACGCCTCTCCGCGTAGAACCTTTGTGGTGAAGTGGTGTGATATCACGCACGTGGCATGAACACCTTCCCTACTCAATAGCGGGTCAAGACGGCTGTTGAGACATCATAGTTGCAACATGTTGCAATCGCCAAGTAGACATTGACATTGACGACTGCCTTGTAGCCTAGTCCTTCCAAAATGGGGAGAGTTCGCCTTCAGCATAACTTCCAAAAAAACAGACCAACAAAGGGTATCTCAATTCAAGGGGCCTTGCCTCTCTTGAGAGGAGCATGCCGGCAAGATTATCACCCTGATGTCGGAGTACTGCCTCTGCCAGCGCATCAAGCCCGTGAGTGACCCCAAGACGCCTTTCTCCAGCGAGGACAGTCCAAGTGCTTTCATCATAAACGGACTAGACAGTTGCGCATTGTGGAGAGTGCTAAGATTCGAAGCAGACAAGCCAAGCGATTTTCAGTTTAAGGTTCTAGGCAAGGTCTCGTGCTTCGCAGTGCATCGCAGGCTGACTACATTGCAGCACTCCAGTCCCATCACCAGGCCAGGCCTCTTACATCCCCCGGCCTTGGAGCCAGTTTTCGTGCTTGGGCTGAGACTTGCCAAGCAGGTGATGCTCGCGGCTGTGAAGTGCAAGCAGAATGTCGACCCGGCCCTTGCAGACACCCTTGCTGGTGCGGTGGCCGAGATGAGCAAGATGTACCTCAAGTGAGGGCCTTGCCGAAGGCCAAAGGCTGCTAAAGGCCGCAGAGCTGCTGAGGGCGGAGATTGCAGACGGTCTGCTTTAGACCTCGCACTTCAGCCCAGCACAAGTTTATGCAGCCCATGTGACAGATTTTGGTAGAAACCGAGACTCGTTACGTATCGTGACAGAAAAAAGGGCTGTTGGGTTTGGTGCAAAAGTGTGGACTGGGTTTCTCAGAACAGGCCAATGATGCTTCATGGTTTTCTTCCATGATACCGTGGCTCCTTCTTTCGCGCCCGTCAAATCATAGCAGAAGGGACGAGGCATGAGTTGGTGCTTGAAAACTGGAATGAACTGGACCAGGTTGCAACACCCTCTGAACACTTCTGCAAACGACTTTTCGGAAGCAGCAAAGGGTTGCCCACTTACATGGCCTCATAGAAGCTGAGGTACTGGGGTCTGTCGGACCCGGAGTTTGTCCTCAAAACCATGAGCAACTCGAAGCCCTGCGACATGATGAAGCCGGAGCCTTTGGAGACCTGATGCAGCCTGTCCAAGCAATGAATCACGTTTTCCACGCAGCCATGCAGGGTTGTGGACAGCTTCCGAAAAGATGAGGAGGCGCACTTTGTACTTGTGCAGAAAGCACCGACCACGACTCAGAGCTGAAGGGCGCTGCTTTCGAACATGTCATGCAGCTACTGGTGAGACAACCTAAAGTACTTGTCTAAAATGCAGGCGAGGTGTGCAGCAATCCCTTTGCGCAATTATTCAATCCAGTGAATGCATGAAGGGTTTGAGTGAAGGGCGCCAGGCAAGTGTGCATGTGATCTCTGGAGGGCAGATGCACCCCAATGAAGTTCCTATGTAGCTGGCCCAGGAAGAACATCACCCTCCTGGACAAGGAATATGCTGACATTCTCCCGAAGACCGGCAAATGCCTTAGCCTAGCCTTGTTGGAGTCCCAGAAAGCTGGGAGCCGGGGTGTTTGTACAAAGTCAGAATGCATTGTCAGTGCTCCAACAAGGCAAACACCCAGTGACAGCCGACGCCATTCAAACTAAGCTAAGCTGCAGACAATTCCTTAGGACAGATTTTGCGTCGACCCTAGCTGCTGAGGACGCAAGGCCCAGCGCAGGCGGCAGGAGGAGGATTTCAAGTTCTTGTGACATCTGGTGTTTGCACATGAATACCATAGTAGTATGACAAGTTGAGCTGCCCATGCATGGCATGCCTGTGTTGTAGAGTAAAGCAAGGCAGCAGATCGCACATCATTGTTACATGCGCCCATCTCTGCTGTCAGGAGGCGGAGGCCGCGGCCGCAAGTGCTTCGACTACAACTGCCCTGCCAGGTCCCAGAATTGATGAGGGCACTCCTTGACGGGATGTGGGTCCATTGGCTTGGGCAGATGTTGAGGTAGTTTTCATGTTTTCTTTTTCCAGCGCAACTGGGTCAGCCTGTTGGAATGATGTCAGATGGCACAAGGGCCCCAGAACACGCTCTGCTGTCGAACCCCTTTCAAGCAATCAAGCAATCAAGATAGGCGCTGACGGATCGCTGGCGGAACAGATGGTCATCTTTCCGGGCCTCTTTGAGTGCGCGTGGGGTTGAACTGGACTTGTCAGGAAGTCGAGATAGAGGTTTGTGAGCAGCGAAGCAGATGCAGTCTGATCAACGAACGGAATCGCAAGGGCTCCTTTCATTGCCCTTGTGCAGGTTCATGACACAACGAGACAAAGATGTGAAGCAGCCAGCGGACTCGGACAACCATGTGGACACGTGATGTAGGACTGCTGAGCCTTGTTGGCAGCTTTTCGACATAAGTTTTGGAACGGAAGGCGGACGTAGTGAGTACAGTCTGGATGCAGCTCTCCAAACCTCACACGGACCTGCGGGCCGATCATGCAGCCATTTCCCCAGCCTAATTTCGCTTCTGATGCTTGAGGCACTTAAAACGCACGAAGCTGCGAAGCCTTTGTGCCTGGACCTCAGCTGGCCCGAGGCTGCCGGGTGCAGGAAATTGAGGTTTTGTATTGGGGAAGCCAACAAGCAGAGTTGCTAGGCTGATCAGAATCGCATGTGCGTGCCTGAAACTGGAGTGTGCTCTAGCCAAAGTATCGCCCGCACGTAGCACATTGAATTTGCTTTTCATTCTTGTGCCCGTTCTGCCACTGACGGCACTTCCGTTGATTTCAGTGTGGGCGTTTGAGCTGCTAGGTCTACTTGATCCTTGCGATTCTCAGCGTCTGCAATGTGTATCTCCTGCGCCCATCGGGTGAAGGGTACTACTGCACCAAAGGCACGGTCCCAAGATTCAAGCGACAGATGCATTGACCTTGACGTTTGAGGTCGCTGCAAGCCAGAAGGGCGAAGCCTTGATCAAAGCAGTCTGACTCAACCTACCCCACCCTACCCTCAAGCCTCTTCATGGATGTGGGTGAGCTCCCTGATTCAATTGCGAACTTGGATGCTGGAGGTGTCTCGGAGCTCTTGGCAGGACCAGATCTGGGCCAATAGGGCAATCGCCTAGCTGCAAGAGTTGACTGCGGTGTTGCTTTCATAGGAGGCTGTTTCTGGTGGCCGGCATCCCACAGAACAAGACTTCCTACAACCTTGCACAGGAGGCGTGCACTCCCAGCCCCTGGAGACCATCAGAGACATCCCGGAAGTCTGGGAGTGGCTGGATGCCAAGAACCTGCCAGGATTGCAGAACGGCAAAATGATAGGCTTGGGTACCGTACCTGCTGTGGGGGCTTCCGGTGTTTGTCCTCCTGAGAGTCTTCATCTGAGACAGATACGTAGTGCTCGGAGCGCACGTTTGGGCATCTGGACCGTAGGCTGGAATGCGAGACAAGCACATGTCCAAAATGAATGGCGCAAGTTGTAACAGCTTCTTCCGAGTCTGATGCAGTGCGAGGCTGGAGAAGACCCTGGTGGTCTGGCACTCATGATTGGCCTGTGGTTGCATCTGCCAAACTCTGCACCGCACGAAGCATGTCAAAGCTGAGCCAGCTGAGACGCGCGAAGCTTGGCGTGCAAAGTGTTTAGCAAGGAGCACTTGACAAGCATGATGTGATGCTCTCAGGGAGCCTCCTGAGGCAGAGGTCTTCACCGACAACTCGACATTGCGCCGAAGCAACTACCTCGTTGGCTACCTGCAGGCTCCTGCAGTAGGGGTATTGCAGCTCTAAATGTCGCAACATCTTCCACGTTGAAAGAAAAGCAACAGTTGTGAGCTGGAGCAACCGCCAAACAGTTGTCTGCGCAATAGCACTAAAGGAGAGTACGGACGTGCCATGGTAAGTTCAGAGTACACCAAGGCATGCGTGCAAAGTATTGGTGTGTCCCGGAACTACATGAGTCTTGTTGCATGAAGCTGCAGCACCACAAATCTCCAAAACCACCATAATCGGCACTTTGAAGTCCAGCTGGATGTCTAGCCATGTTCAAAGGTGCGCCAACAGGAGGTGGCTGCTCCTTCTGCTCTCCACTGCAAGGGTATCGAGGCCAGCACATGCTGCCATATCAGGTACAAGGTAGGAAAGATTCCGAACTTGACATTGCAGGTTGGCTGCGATGGTTTAAGTCAGATTCGAAGCTTTAGCCATTAGCCTAGTCTCCTGAGGAGAGCAACGGCAACTTCTCCTGCTCAGATCCCAACTGATCTCTTTCATCTTGCAACTTTGCCATTGGATTGAGTTCGCGTGAAGAGCTTTCAGGCCAGAGTGGGTTGCTGGGGGCTTCAGGCATAGGGACACACAAGGGCATTGCATTCAGTTGGATAGGAAAAACATATTTACTGGATAATTCCGGCCGTGGGAGGTTGTCACCATTTTGCATAGGCCAGTTAAGCGAAAGCGTTCTTTGCGCTGCTGAGGTGTGCGGGTGAAGTACGAGGAGAACAGTGTGCAGTCCCCAGTGCAGGTAAAGCGGTGGTCATGTTACCTTTTTGATCCGTACACGGCGTCATCGCCTCTAACTGAAGTTACTAAGTTGCCGACTCATCAAGAGACGAGGCTTGGAATTGAACAAACATGGTAGACCCAGCGGCCTGAATAACTCAGCACGTGCCATGGGATCGGGAACCAATGGGAGCCAACTTCCTGGACTGTGCCGCCAGGGTGGCTTCAGACAGGCTATGCCCCCTGTGCATGTTCCCTGTAAGGGTACACGTGCATTTAACCAATGCCTCAGATGAAACGGTGGATGAAAGAAATTTTGCACCACTCTTATAGCGCCGGTAATGGCAATTACATTGCTCGAGGGGTCCGGGGTGGTGCAAGATTTCCTCCATCCACAGTAACACTCGCTCAGACAGCGTTTACTGGCGCACCCCTGTGGGTCAGCAGCTGCTGAGGCGATGCAGAAGGAACATGCCTTGCTGAAAGCTTACTGGCTTGACAAGCTCGGCCAGGAGCCTGCGGATTAGGTCACCTCACACGGCAATTGAATGGTCACCCAATGATCCAACATGACGGCTTCCAAACGTCCGCGAAAGTGGATGCTGCGCATCAACTTGAGACCTCAAGCAAACGCAACCTGTTTCAATTGTACGTCAGCCCCTGTCTGAGGCAATTGTTCTACACAACTCTTCGCATCACAAATGAATTGGGAACTCAAATAAAAGAGAATGGGTAAGATGAAGCCTGCCTTGACACTTGAGATTCAATTCGTCGTTCTAGCAGTGAAGCCCGACAGGAGAGCTTGTGAAAGGTTCATGAAAGAAGGAAGTCTTATTCGCCAAGCAAGAGCCTAATCCAGAAGTGGAAGTTGCTGTGGCGATGGGGCGAGGCTTCAGGATTTCGGGAACATGCCCAAGCCAGTTTTGACGCAGGACGGGAGGTCTGTCCATACGAAACCCTGGGAGCATCATCGGCCTTCGCACAGTACTTCAGGTGCCAGATGCAGCTTGGGCAGGGCTTGGGATGCGTTGGCGCGGTGCACATGGCTGCACAAGCTTTGGCGCTGCTTTAAGCTTCAAGAAACCGCTACATGTTACAGAGCCGGTGAGATCAGCCAAGTTCAACAAGTGTGTCATCTTAGCTCATAGCCTGGATTGACCGCAACCAGTGAAGGTCAAGTTAGCTAGTCCCTAGTCCTGTCCCCATTGTTGAGCTTTTGCTGAGACAAGCTGTTTAGAGAAACAAGAGATGCTCTTTTTCGGCCCCTGGCTAGCCTTCAACAAGCTTACACGCAACTTTACGCGGGATAACCAGCCCGTTTTGCAATGCCGCCGGCTGATCCGCTGCTGAACCCCTTGCGGGCTGTCGTAAGAAGCTTCACGTGCTCGAGCTGCGGCAGGTTTGACACCTCTGGCCAGCGCCGCTCGCCATATGTCTGCCCGCGCTGCATAGAAGGAACGGAAGCCTCTACTGCTCAGCAGTACGCTTACGCAAGCCTAATCTATGGAGGCAAGATGGAATATGTCATGGGAGCACTGGCCTTGGGCTCAAGCCTTGACCAGAGCGGAAGCCAGCATCCACGAGTGCTTCTCCACACGGATGACGTGCCAAACGAGGCATTGCAGCTACTTGGACAGGTTTGGCAGCTCTGTCAGGTGTCCTACATCATCTCGGCAGGCGATCTACACGTGGCAAGCGACAAGGCAAAATTCCGGGAAGTCTTCACAAAGCTGCACGTCTTGAATCCGGACGCCCTTCCATATGACAAGGTTGTCTTCTTGGACCTTGACATGATTGTCTTGCGCAACGTTGATGAGCTCTTCGAGCTGCGGCCCCCTGCGGCCATGAGCACATTCAAAAGTGGTGGCCTTTCGGATAGCAAATGCCAACATGACCAGCGACTACCTCCAGACATGTGCTACATCAACGCAGGCACCATGGTGGTTGCGCCCTCGAAAGAGCTCTTTGAGCTGCTTCTAGCAGATGTTTTAGAGCCAGACCCGCTGTGGCACCTTCAAGCCTGGTCCCCAGAGCAGAAATACCTCTCAAATGTGATGTCTGGTGAGTGGAGTCATGTGAGCCAGCTGTACAACTTCGAGGTGCAGTTGCATTCTGGCGTGCCCCTTTCGCAGACGTGGCACAAGACAAAGGTAGATGAGATTGCCGTGGCGCATTTCTCTGGAGCAGAGAAGGTGTGGGATACGGAGCCAGATGGAGAGTTGCCCGTGCTTGGCAACGTCCACGCCAAGGATGCTTTTGCATTGCTCCCTCCTGCAGTTCAGCGACTGGCTGAGGCTCGATGTCGGCTACTTCATGCGGAGTGGCATTTCAAATTTGCTCATGGTCTACGCAGATGCAGGGCTAAACTCCCTGCAGAGCTGGACTGGAGACCAGCATGGCGCTCTCTCCTAGCAACAGGTACAGGCCGCGATTCCCAAGACAGAGACGTATCACAGCATGGACGTGGCTCCATCGGAGCAAGCTGGAGTCCGGGAGACCATTTGGTTGTGGAGGAGTCCGGCTCTGTGGGTCTTGCACTCCATTTAGCAACTGCATTGCGGCCGAAGGGCTGCTCACTTGTGCTCTATCGACAGAGTCCAGGAGACCGGCATAGCTTCGAAGGTTTGGTCGAGTCGCGAGACGTGCAGTGTCTGAAGCCTGTCGATGAAGAGATGGCGGCTGAATATGGCTTGGGATGCAAGGCAGTAGCATGGCTTGGTGAAGGCCATTCGCAAGGGCTAGTTGTGGCCCGCAGCGGCAATGAGCGCTTGTTGCAGATAGGCAAGTGCTGGACATGGCTCCCTGTTGGGTCTCTGATGCCATGTGTCGCAGCATAGGCAGACGTGAACCAATTCAGCGTTTCCCGCGTGGCCGCTTTATGGGACACATTCGGGCTGTTAGAGAAAGGCTCAGCTCTTCCTGTTGCGAATGCATCCACAGTGTGCAGTGACTCTTGCAAGTTCGGCGCGGCCAGGTGCAGCTTCGAAAGCTGCATCTTACGAGCACGCTGACCCATCAGGATTTCGAGACTCGGCTGTTTCAAGGGCAGTTGATGTAGGCTTGGCTTTGTCTGGGCAAGTTGCTCCTCTTGCTGGAGCTATGAGCAATTTGGACGCCAAGGCTTGGAGTACAATCTGCAGTACACGCGGCAACCTCAGCAAGGGCACAGTTGAACATGAGAGTCATCATTGGTGCCACGTTGAGCTCGAGTAGCTTGAGTAGAAGCCCCCCAACTCTCTCGCAACAGCAGCTCTTGAACAGGAAGTAGCTAGAACTTGTCAAGTTTGCCAATCGCGGTTGACCTGTGTTCAAAAGCCACACCGCTCAGGCAGTCAAACCGAAATCTGCACCACTGATATAAGTGGATATCTGGAAGTGTGCAAGAGCTGTGGCTCCAAGAAAGGACCTTGCAATCCAACAGCTTAGGCCATTGAGTGAGGTGCGCGTGGCGTTCTTGCAGGACACAGCATGGATTTGCTGCCCGACCTTCTCTGCAAGGGGTGTAGATCTATTTCATGGATTGCTTCGCGCATCACAAAGTAGCCATAGCAGCTGTAGGAGTGATCCTGGTCGCAGCGCCGGTAGCATTCGTACTAGCAGAATACCGTGGCTTAAAGAAGGATTTGGGTTTTGGAGACGTCGAATACGGAGGACATGGCCTTCCTACGTTCGGCAGGGTGGTCTGGGGCCTGGGCCAGATGCGCTTGCTTTTCACCATGTCCCTTGTGGGTCACAAGCTGCCACCCCTGCCGCTAAAACAGGAAGTCATGGGCATTGGAATCGATTATGAGGTGTTTGCTTTCGACAATGCTCATGATGCTTCAGGATAGGCCCTCTCAACAAAGATTCCTGCAGGAGGGCAAATTCAGGCCAAGGCTCAGGCGACCCAGACATTTCAAGGTGTTGACTGGTCGCTTAAGTGGTAACAGATTTTTTTTTCGCAAAAAATCTGCATGGCTGACTTTCGGTCAGTGGCGAGAATGTCGCGAAAGTGTGGGGTATCGCTTGCAAGTAAAGTGAAGTACCGAGGAAGTCTGTGCATAACACGCTGCTGTTCACTACATAAATGGAGGCCTGCTTTTCAATGGCAGCCTGTCTCAAAGAATGTACATGCGTCAGATGCGTTTCAGCGGTCAGACGAGCCCATACTTATGATGATCTAGTTCCCGCTACTGTGCAGGCATCACTTGACAGAAAAGACCTTCTCACGCTGAGGATTTCAGCACAAACTCGGGCTCTTCACATCAGCTTCGTCTCCTACAACGCTCCTGGGCTTCAAGCTTGCTGGTCTGGTTTCAGCAATAGCGCTCAGTTGCGGCAGTGATGTTTGCCTTCAGCATGTGCACTGCACTAGGCTGCATACCTCAAATGGATTTGGAGTCGGCACCGCTCTCAGCAAAATCACCGGTGCAAAGCCCTTGTGACAGCCAATCAGCTGGCCCAGCTCCAGCCCAGCTCCATTCTTCCGTCTCAGCATGTCTTGCTATCAGCAGACCTGACTGCGCTATTTGCGCACTGGCACTTATGTCATCAGCATTCATTAGCCTTTTGAGCTTCAACGTGCTGTGCAAGGTTCACTTTTGAGCTCAGCGCGTATGGAACCATCCACGCAATGTCGAGCATCCAGCTGTACCGGCAGCAGACCTAGGGTGTTCAACAGCAGCTGAAGTCCAGGGGACTCTGCAAGTCTGGTGCCTGCTTCATGTGGCAAGCTGTCGCTCGCGAAAGGCCACGTGTCTTTGACTATGGCTTGGAGACGGACTTGCTTTTCACTGATGTTAGCAGGCAAAGTCTGCCAGTCTATCATTCGCACGCAGATTTTTGCACGACTGCTTCAGAGCCGCTTAATAATGTCCCTCCGAGAAGCAGATGCAGGTTCGTGCTGGTGTTTTACATCCTCTTTCAGGCATACGCAAGCCATGCCTTGTCAAGGACGAAGGAGTTTGTTTGCGCGCAAAGGGAGCTGCGTTCCTGTCAGGTCTACTGGGATTTCAGCTACGCACAGCAGAAGAATGGAGTGGGTTGGAAACACCTCGTCACAGCGCAGGCCAGGCTCCGGAAAAGACCGAATGGCAACTTCCGTATCCCGTTAAAGTGTTCCCCAAACCCTGAGGCTTTGGCCGACGCAGTGATCGTCATCCTCTTCATCGTCGTGTTTGCATTGCGGATGTCTTACTTGCGAAGTGTGGGCGGCCCCAGGGCATGTTGCACCACCTGCACGGTGTGCTGTTAACAGAGCGACACCAGCTCAACTTCTTGGTCAGATTTTAGGAGTCGACTGTGGGCTACACGGTGTCTCACGTCATCTCCTTCCAAGATGTTGATGCCCAAGTGTGCCTCTGATCATTGCCGCTGCATGCGATTTGATGCCCCGTTGCCTAAGGCTGGCCGCATGGCCGAATATTATGCCTTGCATGCTATACTGGACACCGTCTTGATGGCTGGGGCCTTGCTTCCTCCAATTGAAGTGGCAGCATGTGGCTGCATGTTGCCCCTGCATGCAAGCATCGCACCACTCCAGGCCCTATGCACCTACAGATTCTTCTATTTCCTGCGGGTGAACCGTCAGGCTCTAATTTTTCCTGTTCCGCATGCAACCCATATACCAACGGCAGCTCGATGCAGCTGCAGATGACTGGGTGCTGCTTTAATTCGGATTCGTGTTTGTTTGGCTACAGGTGGATCATCTTAGTTAGGATGCGCCACCCTCCTTCTTCATGAGCTTGAAGCTGGGCACGGGACGCCTGCTGCTGCAAGGACCAAACCTGCAGAACTGAAGCAGCATGACTAGCAGCAGGTGTACATCTTGTGGGCGACGGTGCACCGTGCCTTCCGGGTAGCTTCGAGGCTCGTGGTCTTGCAAAGTGAGCTGGTTGTTGATGAAGGGCCTGGTGCCACAGAATAGCAGTCGGGATGCCCTGTGGTCCCGAATCTTGAAGCCGACAAGCTGCAAACAATCCCTTGAAGCTTGAAACCAGGCTGGTTCTTTTGTTAGCGCTGCCCGTGCTTGTGGGCTTCGTTCTTTGCCACATGGACCCTGGGCGGCAAAGCTTTGGTCATGCAGCATTTTTGGTGCATGACTCTCCGTTTGTCAAGGCATCGTGATCCTCATAATGCATGGCAACTGCCAACCGCAGAGCTGTAGACGCGAAGAATGCAAAGACTTGCTGAGAATTGCCTTCAGGCTGTGGCAGGCCCATCCGTGGAAAGTGGTAGGCTGGGCCTGCCCCGGCGTAACCAGCAAATCGTGTGCAAAATTCAGAGGCAACGTGTTGCGCTCCTCAATTCGGGGACGCCGCTAATTTCCAATTATGTTGACGAGCTTTCAGGGTTTGTGTGTTGTTTCGGAGGGGTACTGCCCTCGAGCTGCAGTGGGCAACGCGCGCAATCATGGCATGTGTAGAAGCTTTGGAGGACTTTTGGGGGCTCTTTTGCCCGGACCTTGATACTACTTTTTGGCGACAACAAAGCAGTGGTCGAGTACGAGCCCAACCGCTTTTACGAGTGGCAGCCTCAGCCTGCAAAGGTTAGCCGAAACGAAGAGTCCTATGGCCGATCATGGTGGACTCACGGACTTGCATGCCCAGCAGTTGGCAGCCGCGAGCAGGGGGGGGGGCGGGACGGTCCAAAAAATCAACAAATTTTTGTTCACAGTTGCGTGGCGCCGTGCTGAATCGAACACTGCTTGTGATTCTTTTACCAGGCTGGCTTACAATGTGGGCTTGTTCTACATGGGAAGGCTTGGTCTCATGGGGTTTCCTCGCGGCTCAGGAATTTCTGCAACAACATGGCGAGTCAGGAAGTGTTATGGTCATAAATTGCATTGTGTGCAGAAAACTGAACAGAGACTATGTGCTGCAGGCTGGTTATCGCCAACACGTGGACTGCCATTCTGATGCAAGAGCCTGGGGCATGGTTGTTGCATCGAACCTGAACGCCATGGGCTGGTCAAACCCAAGAGTAGTTGAGCGGTTGAATTTTTGCGCTTTGAAGGGGTAATGCCCCGATATGGGTGTGAATGCTTGGAACTTGCAGCTGACACGGCAGCTGCGTAGGGTTGAGTTTCAGGTATCAGAAGACACGCGTGGCTGCCGGTCATGATCCGAAGCGCTACCGATGGAAGGAGGGTGCACGTTTGATGTCAGTTGCAGCATGCATCAGAAACGTTAGCGAAGGGACAAATTACGGGTTTTCAAGCGTTCAAGATGGCTGGAACGCTGGCACTTTTGTGCTGCTACCTTTGTGCATGGAATACGTGCATGCTGCAACCTCACAACAGTGATGAGTTGATTTTTGTGCACTTCGATGTGTTCATTGTGGGTGCCCTGCAAGGAGTTTGACTGGGTTGGCCTGAGGCTTACATGAGCTACTGTCAATATTAGCCTTGATGAGGGACCCGTAACCCTGGACATAGGCGTACCTCTTGCAGTTTAGTATGCTTAGTCCCTCATACAACTCTTAATAAAAACCCATGTACATGAATATGTGTAAGCAATATTGATTGTAGCTCACATGATTTCCTCGCATCCGTAAGATGTTACTAGGATTTTTAGGGGCGCCTTCCCCCACAGTTGAGCACTGTGAACATAGGGTAGGGTGTTCAAATGCATTCGCCAAGACTGGATTCTCGCCTGGCGAATCTGGCGTGTTTATCAGTTTTCAAAGACAAGTGCAGTGCTAGTTGGGTTCGATGTGCAGCTTGACGTGCGGGCACCCGTTTTTCAGCGTTAGCTTCATGAAGACAGCCTGCGTTCGCCAAGTCAGCACTGGCCGGTTGCCATTCGCCTTCACGCATTGATGCCAGGCCTCTGAAGAACCTCTACTTGCGCCTTCGGCCCTCTATACGGCCCCAGCCTCAGCTGCTCATATGTGTTGCGAAGTGGGTTTTCCACGGAACAGAGTCGCCCAAGAAACACACGGACGCCAAGGCCCGTCAAGCGTTTTCACGACGATGATAGCCTTGAATGAGCTTGTGCTGAATCAGCTGGCAGATGGGCTGAATGTAAGTTGCAAAGATTCTTTAGGCCAACAGTATGCATTGCATGCGATGCCATGATGTGAGCAGGTCAGCACGAATTCCAACCGAAGGTTTTAGCTGACTATGGTCAGGCTGCACCCAGCTTTGAGAATATTCCCACGTTTCTTGAAAGGTCCATGCGAGGGTTAGGTCATTAAGTCAGGGATTTCCGTTCCAGTGCGGCCTGGCGCGCACCCGCACAGCTGGCATGTCCCACGAAGGTGGGCAAAGCTGGCGGCATTCAGCTTGACTGCTTGGAGCGAACAGCTTGTGAGGCTAACTTATGGTGGCTAATCCTTTGGCATGATGGCCTAGGACAAACTCTCCCATGTTTGATAGATCGCAATTCTACTCTCGGCTACCCAACAAAGGCCTGCCAACCTACCGACGTTCAGCATGAGATTAGTGCCCCATGCGCTACTCACGTAGTTTCAATGCGCAGCAAGTGCCTTGATCTGGTTATTGTTTTTAGTTGAAATGCAACTGGGCCTTTCATGTGCGCTCCAGCCGCAAATAACCCATACCCTCAGAGAAGCTGCAATTGAGCTTGTACAGAGCTATGGGCCTGCTAGGGATATTTGATTCAAATCGAGTATCTTATTTGACGTTGGCAACGATTCAATGGCTGTTTTTATGAATCATGGACAACATCGGATTGTGAAGCTAGTCTCGGCAGTCCTCATGCTTTGCTTGGTACAGGCAGCGGCGAGGGTAGTTCTCTGCAGAGCCAGAGGCCAATAAGGATGTGGCAAGGGGAAATGGCCTTTGGACATTTTCTGTTGACTAGGGATGAATGATTTGAGATGGTATTTTAACAAGAAACATTGTTGGCTTGTTTTTTGTCACGGGGCTTTCCAAGAGCCATTTCCCAAGTTTTAAATGTGTCAGACAGTGCAGCAGCATGTTGGCTTCACCCGAGATTCGGGAGTGCGAGGGCAGACCGCTGCTGACGACGATCAACATCGGGTACGGTAAACAAGTTGCCAGTTTGGGTTCTTGGGAAAGATGTAAAGGCGCCCGTGTCAGGCGAGGCATTTGGGCAAAGCCTTTGAACATTTTGCTGGAAATCTGCCAGAATGTGCCATTTTTCTCTCTGCAGCTGTTCGCGGGAGAGGCCTACAGATTTGATGGCAGCTTTCTGGGGCTTAAATGTGGCATTGCATCCGGCGCGACACGCTTTGGAGCTGAAGCAATGCCTCTCAATTAGCCGGCAAAACAACTCCCAGCCCCTCAGCCCTAAGCCCCATGACCCCCTTATGCTAATTACGACAGGTTCACCCCCCCCCCCCCCAATCCATGACTTGGGCCGAGTGAGCGTCCTGCCGCTTCCATGGTGCCTTGGCTGTATTTCCTGGTTTCACGCTTTTGTTTCAGGGCTTTCGAGTAGATGTCATGAGTAGTTGCAGGGCATCCCATCAAGGATACGACAATGTTGCCATCAAAATCAGTAGCAAGGTGGGAGCATTCCATTTTCCCATGTATTTTTCACAACTCCAAGGCGGACGATTCCAGCGATTTGCTGGATGGCCTGCATAGTCTGAAGCCCAGCTTTGTTGCCTTCGCAGTTACTGCCGTTGCTACCTTGTCACGCAACATGGTGACTCATAACAGGTTGACATGTGATGCTATGCGGTTGATGTCCATTTGTTTGTTGATGGCGAGGGGCATGCCTGCAAGGTGGAGGTGTGATTGTTTTGGACAACGCTTAGGAGCATTTTGCTAATGCAGTGAGTTGCTTTCAAGTCTTGGGCTGGCTGCGATGACTTTGAGTGCTGGATGAACGCTCTGCGGCAGGTTTGGACATCACGGCCTGCAAAGATCTCATTCGCCAGCTCCAAGCGAGGCGAGAACGCCGTGGACGGCTCAGTTTCTTTCAATCTGCAATCAGGGTCTCAGGTCAAGGCCTTTGCGTGTAGTTGTATGCACCCAGCAGCTTGGCAGTTCGACTGTGCATTCGAGGCAGGGAGCTGGTCGAGAGACTGCAGGAGAAGCTGAAGGCGAGGGGACCGCGCGTTCAGTCGCATGACACACTGCAGCGGGTACGCAAGCGAGGCATGCTGGTAGATGCTTGCAGCACAGACAGGAGCCGAACAGATGCTCGCACGTGCGCTTGAATCCCGTGAGTTGTTGTTTTAGTTTAAGCAGGAACTGTAAGATCGTTGCTTTTACTCGTAGCAGCCGTCTCAGCTTTTGCTTCCAACGTACTTGTCATATTATACCACAAGCTGTCAAACTGGTTTGGAACTTTGCCAGATTTTGCCAGATGCTGATACCGTGGCATTCATTAAAGTATACACGCGCGCACACACCTCGCCCTGCAAGAATGGCAAGCCCTCAGGTTTGGAGGACGCAGTTTACATGCACATTTCCTTCGCAGACCTGAGGCTCTGAACAACGAGCTGGCGGCTCGCAAGGAGGAGGCCGACAGATGTCCGAAGCCTAGATCCGAACAGCGTTATGATCTGATAATTTGCAGAGACTAGCTGCTCTACATTCCTGGGAACCTTGCAGAGCAGCATTGGCATTTTGATTTGATCCATGAAGCTCTCCTTTGAAGTGGGATCTGCCTGAATGTGCTTGGCAAGTGGAAGGAAGCGTAAGGCATGAAAACCGTATTGTGACATATTGTGACAATGCAGCCTTCCCTGACAAGGTAAGCAGGACCTCCTCGATGAGCAGGCCAAGAATCGCCGTTTGGCGGAGAAAAGGCCAAGAAGGGGTTGTATGAGTCAGTGTTTCTCGACCCCCCCACAGTACTGGGAGACAAGGATTTCCACGGCACCGCTAGCCTGCCAGCGTCCGACGCAAGGATGTTGAAGTCATGAGGGGAGCATTTTTTGGAGGGGACTTTGTTTTTGTTTCGCAGGGGTTCCCCGAAAGTCGGCACAATTTCATTCACGGGCTTGCGCGGCGAGACATGCGGGTCCTAAGGGCAAGCTGTTGGGATCGCTACAATTTGGGATGGTTGCAGGTCTGCTCGTGGAAAAGTGGATGCTTCTCATACCAAGTCTGAACCCACAAGGGAAAGCGCTACTTCGAGCAACATGTTTGTTTTTGCTTGCAGTGGTCGGAAAAGTGCAGCTGGTCAGGCGGCAGAGAGGCGGCGAGAAAGAGGTGCTCATGCGCTCTTTTAAATTCCTGTTTGTTGGTGTTTGCTCGGCTTTAGGTTTCGGAGGGGTAGCAATGTTGAGCTGTCCGCGGTGTCGAGTTTCTGGTTTCCCAACGAGAAAAAACATATTCGCGGTTGTTGTAATTTGTTCGGGAAGGGGCGTCAGAAATCGAACTAGCTGGTGTTGTGAACGCAGGTGGCGTCGATCCAAGATGATCTCCAGCGCGAGCAGGCAGAATGCTGAGGGGCTGGAAAGCGCTGTTGGTCCAAGGCAGTTTGGAATAGGTTGGAAAGGTCAGCCCATGGCATGGGTTTTGAGGTTCAAATGCAAGGGGAGTGCAACTGCGGTTGCAGTCCCCGCTCTTAGCTTACCACGAGGAGATGGAGCTCCAAACCGCCAATGTGCGCCGCTTCATGGAGACGACGCTGCAGGAGCAGGTCCGGGATCCAGCTATGCCTTGTCAAGCAGCCAGTCAAGTGGGGTGACATTTGTTGAGGGCAGGGGGCTTCAAGCTACTCAAAGATATGTTGCATGAAGCTTTGGTACTGCGAGGTACAGCGAAACCGGACTCAAAACGAGTCGTGGGCCTGGTCGGGAGTGTCTTTGTCAGCCAAGCGGGGAGTGGGAGTCCGCCAACACCTGTCTCACTAACGCGGCCAAATCAAAGCTGGGGAGGTATGGAGATTGGCCTCGACAAACATGTCCTGACTGGCTAGGTTTGGTATTTTCCATAGATGAAGCATGGAAAAGGCCCCTCCCTAGTTTGGGAGCATTCAACGTTCGGAATCAGAAAATTTAATCCAACGCCAAGCCCTCCCTCAGGCTTGGTATTCGCATTTACGACGAAGTTGAGCTGATGGTGGAAAAGTCAGAGCCCCAACAATCGGATGAGAGCCAGGCGGGATCATTGAGCCTTGTGCTCAGCAATGTCTCAACAGAATCAACCGGAACAACATAGCTGTCAGCTTCAGCTCCTCGCGAGAGCATGTCAATCCACCTCCCTCAGGTCAGCAGAGGAGCAAGCCTTGGAAAGTGTATCGCTCAGGATCATGTCAGCTTTAGTGTTGGAGTACTGATGGAGACATCTCTCGCTTGAAGCAAGCAGAAGTTCAAGCTTCAGTGGCTGGAAATGTTACGTTCGGCTGACGTCGCTGGTCAGTCTCAGAATCCTGCAAATGCAGGGTTTTGTGTTAGCACGACCCTTTTGTTACAGGCAGATACATTGACACGGTCTTGGTGACCTACTGCATTCCGAACTCCGACCTGAAGTACAACCTCAGCTTTCGGGTGGCCTGCACCTCAAGAGTGTTCAAAGAGGATTTGAAATTTGCAGGCAGTATTGCCAGCCGATCAAAGCGCAAGACTCTGACCCAGGATAAGGACATGAAGTCCAAGAAGCTGCGAGAGGATGCTTGTTTGCCGAAGCCCGAGATTTCTCGAGCAAGGGCTGGACAGAAAGAGGGTCGAGTGACATTGAGGTTTCAATTTCACACGCTTGCTTTTGAAGATTTCAAGAATCTACGGGGAATTACCAGGAGGAACAAAAGGCAAGTGACAAGGGTTTGGATCCAGGATTGCGGTGTCCAAAACGGTGCTATGAAGCCTTGCGACCCTCAAACTGTCTTGAAGTAGGCAGCCAGGATCTCGGTGTGTATATATATATATATGACCCCAATATGGGGGGTTTCTTGCCCTATCTATAATATGTGTCTCTAGGGGTATACAGGGCTGTATACTTGCACTTGGCAGGTACTGGGGCCTTTCAGAGGTGGACTTCATCCTGAAGACCCTGAGCAATGCCAAGGTCCACGATGAGCTGACGCGCCAACCTCGGCGATGAGAAATAATGCCAATCCTAGTGATTGTAAATAGAAATAGTAGTAAGAAGAATGGGAGTAATAATAGTAATACTACTAATAGCAAGAAAAATTGCAATAGTAAAAGTAATGATCTTCGTAATATTTCGTGGCAGATTCGGAAAAAAGTTGCGCTTGACAATCACGTGCATATGAAGGAATACTTTCAACTTGATATGTCATCAGCCCGGCCACTGAGTCTCAGCCACGGAGTTGGTGATGTGTGCAAGTAGAGGTAGGCAAAGGCCAAATGCAGGAGATTCGGATTTCAGTCTGACCCGAGAGTAGTAGTATTCAGCACTCACAAGCAGCCTGACTGTGCAGCGGAGTACCAAGGATTCAGAGTTGCTTCAATGAGAGCGAAGATGCTCACTTCAGCTTGGTGCAGAAGACACCGCGTGGCTCCCAGAGGGTCAGGGCAGGAGTTCTTTGCAAAGCTGTCGCAGTTCACATCAGCATGAGCCTTCGAAGCACTCAGCTGGCTGAGCTGGCCTGAACGTGCCCCGCGGCCGAGGAAGAACACATCCCTGATGGACAGGGAGTTAACGAACATTTTGCCCAAAGCAGGCGGAACTTGCTGTTCTTTGTTGGTGGCCGTTGGAGTTGAATCATCATTGCCCAATCCCAACACCAGGCCGGAAAGCGCGGCGTGGGGGCGCCAATAAGTCCAGCCACGACACTGGCAAGTCGGAGGGTACCGCTGCCGGAGGCGCTGCAGGATCAACCTAAAGTGTAACTGCAGTTGTGCAATTGCTGCAATGTTGTACAGTGGCATTCTTGGCAGACTTCGGCTAGCCGACATCAGGCACCAGCGGAGAACTCGCTGAGCAGATGATGCTTTTGCCCGGCCTTTTCGCGTCGGGCCTCCCAAAGATGGCATTTGCTTGTGAGGACTTGGAGAGTGGGGCGTGGTACAAGCTTGGAAGCTTGCATGAGCCCCTGCACAGAGCAGAGTGTGGTGCCGAGGTTCATGACGCAGAGGGACCAGAACGTCAAGCAGCAGCTATCTCAATCGACCTGCTGTTTCGTCAAAGGGGGCCGCAGCATGGAAACTAACAGCACTCTAGCACCCCTTAAGGCTCCGGAACCTTGGGGTGCACAGCCTCATGCTGCCACCCGATGCAAAGACCTCTGCCTGGGATATTCCCGGGAACAATTTTAAATTTTATGAACCGTAATCCTAACAACGCCACAAAAAAGTCTTTTTTGTAGGGTCCTTAAATCTATCCCAGCTGAAGCCCCTCAAGACTGCTTTTGGTCTTTCTACATCAGAAGGAGCAACAGCTCCAGAAGCCGATACACAACTTCGGATACAAACTACTGTACTTCTTGTGCTGGGTCAACGCACTCTGGTTTTATATCTATTTTTTGTTCTCCATTTTTGCCTGTGGATGCATCCAGGGTCCGTAATGAAGCCCCGGGTAGTCGTAGGACGCAAAGCATTCTGATTTTCTCAACCCCGCGAAGAGCATTTAAAAACAAAAGGCAGGCCTAAGCACGCCTTGGCAAGGGTTTGCACTGGCTTTGCCTAGGCATCTTCAACGGATGAAGCTACGAAACATTTTTGCCGGCTTCTCAGCATCTAGCAAGTATGCTGGCTTTGGGGTCAAGGGCAAAAGCTGTTCACAGTTATCGTTTACCATTTTTGGGAGAATCCCCCACGCTGTACCAGCCTAGACTCAGGGGCAGTCACATGCAGTCAGAGTGGTACCCACAAACCTGAGTCAACTCTGAACCCTAAACCCTACCCAGCGGCTGAGATCTATCTCACAGTTCTGGTGCTGGCGCTGTATGACATCTACCTGAATCAGCCTCCTGAAGTCAACTTCTTCTGCCGCGAAGGACACGTGAGGCAAAGGTGACAGTACTACGAAGTTGCTAAGTTGCCATGACCACCAGTCCAATTATGAAAAGGCATTCGGCGAAAGCGTAATAGTGGCACATGCCGTTGTCTTTTTGAAGTGCTGCTAGTCAGGCCATGACAACCTCCAAATCAAAGAGTGGAACTGTAACCAGAATTTAAAAGACTCCTGATGGACTCGAGATGCACGCAGAAGTCCTCGAGTCAGGAGCCGTGCGCCCCTTGACATCTGGCCATGCCGACACGTCCGACAAAGCAGGGATGTAGATAGATGTGCAGATAGATAAACAATGCCGCTTTATTTTCTAAATTCGTTGTGTGTCAGTTGAGTCATTTGCCTGACCTTCAAGAAGATGCGCGGACGATGTGCTTGTAAACCCCAGGCAGAAGACCTGGATGCATTTGCCAGGTGAGGTGCATGCGGTGGATTTTGTTGACATCCGAACACCGGATTTAGTTTGGGCTTGGTCATCAGCTCAGGGATGCTTCCTCACTGTGCTCTTGTACGCAAGATTACGCAATCCATGCTTGAAGACTAACCCGACAAGCTGGACGTGACACAACCTTGATGTTTTATGATTTCATCAGGTTAGCCGACACTGTGGCTGCCAGCTGCTGAGAGTGTTTGCGTTGAAGTTATCTCACGATTGCTGCACACCCCGAGAATCCGGCGTATTTTCTCTGTCCTTCCCTCTACGTCGGGAACACTGGGCGCGAACACCTTTCCTTTACAAAAGCCATTGTGTAAGGCCGAGCTTTTCACACCTTCGTCCCTGCTGCGCAGCGGGAACTATGTCCTTGGCTTTTTGCAGGCTGGTGGCTTCAGCAACAATGCAGCAAACGTGCCAGCCATGTTTCACAAGATCAGCGACAGGTCCTCGTCCAAAACGTGCAGCCTCCCACAGAAGCGCAATGCCCCAAGGAGGCACACGGCACATCGATGTCAGTGGCTACCCTGTGGGGATAAGAGCACCCAGAGATACGCGGAGCCATGAAACGTGAAGCAGACGGAGTACTGTAGCTGTTGTTGTAGAGGGCGACGGTTTGAGTGGATCCGGTCAAATGGAACTCAGCCGCAGCCTAGGGCTTAGAGAAGTAATATGGGCCTTCGGCAGGGGAAGCAGAGCATTGCTCACCTGACAACATTTCTTCTGATCCACTGGCACCAGGATGCGTCCTTTGCACTTCCTCCAAATGTGTCCTGCCTGGACCCCGGGGGTGTGATGCCCTACGCGGATGTTCCAGACAGCTTGAGCTGGGGCTTTTCAGGGTGCGGCACTGGGTGAGGAAACCGGTGTGCAGCAGAAGCTCTACTCCATTCAGCATGCTGTATCCAAGCACCAAAGCAGAATCCTTGCTGTTTTGAATCTTGTGAAGAGATGCTCCTTTGTAGAAGGTTTTGCGATGACGTATGCGGACACAACAGCCGCGCCCTCGCAAAGGAAACATCCAGGAACGTATGAAGCTCGCGTGAGCTTGATTCAAGATATCCAGGCGCAGACCGGCGAGCTCGGGGAGATTCGCAACTACTTCGAGGGAAAGATTGGCCTGGACTCCGCTCGTGCTACTTGCAGTAGGGATTGATAAGGCCTTCGACAGTTCTACTGTGTTCTGCCAGTCAGCTTGCTGTCGAAGCCTGAAATCTGCGCAAAGTCAAACATTTTCGTACAGCCATGACTTCGAGCCTATGCACATTGATTGGCAATTCCCTGCTACCGCTCAGTACGGAAGGATGGCCGATACCATCAGACAAGCCCATGGCAGTGGGGTTCCTCACGGATGTCTTCGCCCACAGGCCTGCGATTTAGCTTCTGAAGTGTAGAAAGCCATTATTGCAGTTCGTAGGGTCTGCTTCTGAGCACTTCTTGAGCTCAGTGTGACACACTCTTCTGCAGGAGGAGAAGCATCAACCCAGATGAGCTTCTCTGCCGTGGATGGTTCAGGCTATAGCGGGCACCTTGGTTTGTGCCCGGTGATGCTCTGTGCTTGGGGCAGGGGATCTTAGTATTTGTCGCTTTCTTCCGTCTGAGTCATAGAGCTTAAACATGGTGGATCGATCTGCTACCTCCGAAACCCTGTGGTTTAGGTGTCGAGTACAACTTGCAGGATCCGTGCGCTGCTCAGACCTTGTACAGTCTCCAGTCGCGGGCAATGCAGCAGCCTGTGGAAGCTGTCCCTTGAACTTGGAGGCCGGATGCCTCTTGAAGAGTGAGAACCACACTTGCTGCAGAGGTCTCCGGATTTGGTCCGGCAGGCTTTCCTGCAAGATGTCGCCTTCCTCTCCCAAGCAAACTGGCCAGGGACCCTATCAGCAGGATATCAAGCTCAGCATTCAGAAGCGGGGCCTCTTTTGAGTTCAAATATTGATGAGGGATAGCAAGACTTGTATCGACATTGGTCATGACCAACGCCTAAGTTTCCGCTATTGCCCCAATCCATGTGATGCAGTTCAATTTGCATCATAGGAGGTATGCCGAGGATGGAACTGGGGTTCCAACCTCAGTGTCTTTTATTGGAAGTATCAACACGATCACGAATCCTCAGCCCTAAAACTAGGACCAAGAGACCAAGTGAAAGTGTAGCATAGTCAGCAACCATTGCTCAAATGAACCCTATAGGTAACAAGTAACAACCGTTCATTAACCCACATTCAGCACTTGCCTGGCGACTCGTGTCAAGAACCCTCCACAATTGACATGCGCAGCTGACAATCTCCAGTGGTTGCTAGTAGCACAACTGCTGCCAATGGCGCAGAAAGGGACATTATCTGAAAATCTTGGGCAGCTGCTTGCAATGGCTTCGGGCCGCTCCCCGACTCCAAGTCTTTCGGTCAGCCGATGCTCGCTCTCCAAAGCCTTGAGCCGGGTAAACCACTCGCCCTTCGAGGCAGGCAAGCAGCCCTTGCCTTCCGTGACTAGTGTTCGTAAGTTGCTAGCCATTTGCTGCAATCATGGCCAGTGCCATCTCTACTGTCTACCTGTAGTGGGCTTGCCGGTTTGCAGAGCTATGCAGGGCTAGCCAGGATGCCCAGCATCCACTTCACACAGCAGTGAGCAGCTGAAAATCAATCCGTCATGTTTCGCCAAGGCTGGACACGCAGACGCGCGCGGTTCACGTGCAGTTCATGCTCTACAACCCCAACTACGACCTTTGGGTTCCCAACAGGCGCGATTGTGTTGAGGTTCCGGCATTCCACATGGTGCCTGCCAGATTCCTGGACCTAAAGCTGGGTATTTTGAAGCTCAGAGAAGTGACTCCTCGATGAAAACGCTACTCATGGACCATGCTTCGGTGAGGTACTCCTTTGAGATGACGGGCTTCGGCACAGTCACGCCAAAGATAGACGTGTCTACGTTTAGGCAGGTTGCCTGCAAAACTCCTGCGGTCGGGTTGGCAAGTAAAGCAGCCTTGAAGTGTAGATTTCTTGGAATGAGGGTCGAAGCATGTGGAAGCCATGCGTTGAGTGCTTTTCTATGTGCCTTTTTCGAAGCGGCCGACGACCGTCCCTTGATGTTTACAGCTGTGATGCTGTGATGAAATGTCCATCGGGTGGAGTGCAGGCCAGGCATGATTGAGTACGACATTGGCCTTGGTCAGCTGGGTTCGGACCTCATCAGGCGCGATGGTGAGGTCATGTCAGAAGACTTGTATGAGCCTGAGCTAGACATCAGGATCTTGATGATGACGTCATCTAGGGACACGAGAGTGGTTAGGTTTTGCTGAAAGGGTCGCCCCTGCTGGGACACTGCCTTGTGGAGGTGCTTCTTCGTGCTCTACATTTGCCTGTACCAGGCCTTTAGACACATGAAGTCTTGCTGGGGGTTGTAGGAGGATGTCGTGGCAATTGTAAACGCTACACGCGAGCCTCGCCTCGTGGGCTGGTGGCAGCTGCACAGACGATACACGAGATGCTCGAAGGCGTTCAGCCGCACTGGCATGCAGGGAAAGGCATTCTTTTTGAATACATTCTTGGATCATCTTGGGTCGTTACGTCTAATGGGTGGCCGCCGCAGTCCAAAGTTGTTGCTTCCCAGAGAGGCGAATCTTCGCAATGCAGGACCCCATTGACATACCTCTTGCTCGCGGCTGACGACGCCGCAAGTACGGTTGCCACAGAATCATAATCCAAGACCATGGATCAGATCTGCCGGGGTTGTCAGCAGCTGCACGTTTTGAGACCGTCGGGCACCCCACCAAGCAGCGGTGTTCTTGAGATGTGTTGATGGCCAAGTTGATGGACCAACATCTGGAGTTGCATGCAGTCGGCACGATGGTCGACTGTTGTTTCGGAAAGCATCGCATGACCATTCAAGCTGACATGCGGATTGACATTAACAGACTGATTCCCGTGTGCATTGCAACCTTAATGTGCGCGCGCGAAACATAGGGCGCCTTGCAAACTTACTGGTCTTGGTGAAAAAAATCTCTACGTTCGAGCCGAGGCCCCCATCCTGATGCAACCTGCCAACCTCGGGTGCCAGTCAAGGATGTCGCAGGGTAGTTTATCGTTGAAACTACAGCGTGCGTAAGATTGCCTGCATGAAACAAGAGAAAACACCACACCTTTTCTCGAAGTAACAGGAATCGATTGCCCGTAACAGTGGAGTGTAACAGGAACCGGACAGGGTTCCGTAACAGGAGCCGACTGGTTTCCGTAACAGGATCGCTGGCCCATGCATAACGGGAACCAGCCAGGGCTCAAGAAAGCCCACACATGTGTCCAGACAGGTTAACGCATTCTTGTTCGGACTCTTCCAAGGAAAGTCCGATTTTCAGTCCCCCAGCTGGATACTTTTTTTCGGGCATTCCAAACCAAACCCGAGCCCCAAAGCCAAATTTGGAAATTCTCAACCTCAAATTCTCTTGTGAAGCTAGGCTAGACATGTGACAAAGGCAGACTGCAACCAAGCGGCTCAGCTACCAGAAGCATGCTTGGCACAGAGCGCGGCGCAGACTCAAAACGCAAAATGTTGACGCTCCAAATCTTGAAGCCCAACCCTGGACCGTAGAGTCTGAACTCTTCAATCTAAATCCCATTAAACTCCGAATCCGAAACCCGAAGCCGTGTACACTTCCGTCTTTCATTCGAGACCCTAAATCTTTGTGTGTTTCAAAGGCTTGCGTTGGGTTTGAGTTTGGGGGTCCTTGAGTAGTGATGCTTCAAATTCTGCTTTTGTAGCAGCAGTGGTAGTAGTTATAGTAATAGTAGAACGTGGTAGTCGTTGTCGTCGTCGTGTTGTTCCTGTTCTTATTCTTGTTCTTGTGGTTGTTGTAGTAGCTGGAGTTGTGGCGCAGTAACGGGTTTCCGTTACGGTCGAAATGGTTCCCCTTATCCGCCGCGCCTTTTTTCGACAGGTCAACAGAATGTTGAGGAAGTAGGCATGCTTGACGATGGAAGACGAGGTCTACCCTTCCGCGCTGCATAAGCGTTTCTTTTCGCAGGCAACCAGACAGTTCCAAGGGACGTTGCCACATGCCTACAGCGTCTCAAAGAAACACGCTTTGCAATCAACAATGGCGGCAGGGAATTTTTGCTTTCTTTTGATTTCCGGCTCAACATCAGAAATCAAGACCCAAAGCACATTTGATTATCATGGCCAGTTAATAGGCCAGCAGGCAAAGCTGTGAGCGTGGTTTCGACTGAAAAGCAGGCTCATTGTGAAGCAACACAGCGAAGGCATGTGTGACCATGAGAGCATTCCTGCATCCAGCACCTTCGCCCTCGCAAGCCTGAGGAGCATGATGTGTTGCGTGGACCCGCAGGTCTATTGGGACTTCATGTACGAGCGGAAGGTCAACGGCGCGGGGTGGAAACACTTCTTCACCATCCAGGCTTGCTCGTTTGGCCTAGAAAAATTTGGGATATGGCTTTACCCGCTGCCTTCACACAGCCATGCTGTGGTAACTTGGGCATTTGAGCCTGCAGCATACTGGTGCCTCATCATGGCTTAATGCCTCACGGACATGTTGGAGTTGAATCATGGTCACCGCTGTCTAGCATCCTGCCCAACGCCCACCGCAGGGCGCTGTGGATCTGAGCATTGGAAGCGTTTTCTTCGCGATGTTCGGCCTGCGTTGCTTGTTTTCACATGTGCTTGTAGACTGGCGTTTTGATTTTTTCATGATGCTGATATAATTTGAGATGCCTTGGTGGAATCGTTCTGTCCAGAACATAGGATACACCTACGCACACATATATACATATACATATAGATATGCCTATATGTACATGTACATGTATATGTATATGTATACGTATATGTATATGTATACGTATATGTATATGTACATGTATGTGTATATGTTTTTGTATATATTCTTATTCCGCACATTGCCACGCAACTGAGCCACGATGGGTCTGAGAGCGGTCAGCAGCCAAGGCTACACTGCATTCAATGCTGCTGCCCTGGAATGGTGCATTCAAACAAAGCTGGTCAAAGTGGATTCTGATTGCAAAATTCAGAGTGGCAGCAACTGCGACGAAGCCTGACACGCGGAACTATCAGGCTGGATCAGTCAGCTACCTCTCGCAGCACTTCAATGGAGTCCTCGACGTGTTTTGCTCAGCTGCAGCACCAGACGTTATGCCACCGTTGAACTCCGTGCCACTCAGGCAACGGAGCTCTCGCAGGTTTACAACCAGCACCTAGCTTTGGATGCAGCAATGGCCGCCAGGGTCTTAGAAACTGGCCTTCCATTTGTGTGCGTGCTTGCAGGAGGGTGACCTTGCCTTCCTCTCTCAGTCCCCCATCATAATTGCAGCCCCACTCCAATCGGTGGGTTGCTCATGCGGCGTGCCCAGACCCAGAAAATGTGGAGCACGCAGCCTGGCGCGTGCAGGAAGCCAAAGCCCACTCCAACGCGGGCATCGTGCCACAGCAAAGTCAGCCGTTCTAGCGGAATGCCATCATGCAGACAGTTCCAATCTTGCTATAGTTTGCGCTGCAGCTAAAAGTATGGGAGACTCCCGTAAGGTTGTTGCAAACGTGTAATTTCGATGTTGGTTAAGGCCAAAGTTTTTCAGGAGCCGCGTGGATAAGATGTGGTCCCTGAATGAAGGAGTAATCCAAAACTGCAGTTCTTAGAAGGCCTTCCCGGTACCCACGTCTGAAGGGAAACCCAATTATGTTCCTCAAGATGGCAGATGATTTCGCTGACCCACGCTTTGTGTGCAGTTTGAATGTGCCCACATTGAAGAGGCCTTGGTTCTCTACCGGGTCCTCTATTTCCTCCAGGTGAACCGCCACGCCGTTGCCCGAGTTTGTAGAGTCTTGCATTTAGCACTTTGCCTGTGAGTTTATCCGAAAGCTAGCTTCGGATGTGCCAAAATCCAAAGTGCGAGCAGTCTCCAAGGGTACCGGAGTTTGTGGACGTTTTAGAATGCAGCTTTGGCATTTTTAAAGGCAAAGGGTGCTTAGCAGTATCCGTGAGCCTGAGATACCTGCGCACCTCCTGCGGGACCCATGAAGCACAGCTCGACCATTCTTTGAGGAAACCAGCAAACCTATACTCAAAGCCTTTTGACATTGTCGGACTTGCTTCACTTGCACATTGCGAGCCAAGCTGCAAACTTTCAAACGCATGGGCGCGCCGTGAGGGACAGCTTCATGAACGCGGTGACACGTGGTGTGTACACTAAGTTTATGAATACTGCCGTGAAGCGTGCACTCGAGCGAAAGTGAATGCAGAGATGCACTCGCAGCATCCGTATCCTGCCACTCTTCAATGCATCACCCCCAAAACTACACACAATTTTGCTCAAAGTTTTGAATAACTCTTTTTAACCCTCCCAGCAGAGGTCTTCATCATTTGGACCTCCGTCGCGAAGGCAGCCAAGGTTGCCCTCAGGCCTGCAGATAGCGGGTCGAGGGAAGCCAAGGGAAATTTATCTGTCGTCCTGCAACGTCCTGCACAGCTGTCGCATATCTCACTTTGTGTTCCCATGTTGCTTTCGTGCATTTGAGATGCTGCAAGTGCTTTGAGCCCACGGATACGCAGACGCTTTTGATAGTCGTAACCCGTTTTCAGGCTGCTGGTGATCGTTGTGCCTGTGATTGCGGGCCTGACGGTGCTGAGCATGGGAGTGTCTTTCTACTTTGACCAGTACACCAGGCCCGCCTCATGTCAGCTTGGATAGGTCAGCTTGAAGGGCAGTTAAGGCAGCTGCTGACTCCATGCATCTCAAGCTGCTGCACAGAACTGGGATCAGAGCTGCGGTCCAATTCTGGAAAGCTACCGCATGAAGCAGTTGCGGAAGGTGTGGGTCTAGCCTGCAAAGGACGTTTTGGTCTGCGCTGACGCGGATTCTGCTCATGATTTTCGGGGACGATGAGACGGTGAAGGCACCACCGTAGATGATGTGCGGTGCATTGATGCCAGACCTGGATTGCATCTTTTGGAAAGTATCACTTCATTGACTCAACGCGTTTCGATGCCTGCAACTCTCAACCCTCTTTGCGTGAGATGGCCAGCAGGAGGATTACGAAGCTAAACCGCATCCGGTGGGACCTAAAGTTATCACCTGCAAATACCGAATCAAAAGGCTAAGAGAAGCAGTAGTTGGCAGCAACCGCCAATCATCAGGTCCCTTCTGCCGCTTACACAACACCCCAGAAACACTACGCAGAAACTAAGTAACCGCTCCTTGTTGAAACTCTTCCCAGCTTTGCTTATCCTCAAACATGTGCAGGCCTATGACCCCAATCGGGGTTGGCAGCCAGAGACTGAGCTGATCCGACCACAAATGGAAACCCCATTTGAATGAGGTATGCGCCAGATAATCCTCCTGAACCCTAAGCCTTTTGGGCCTTGCCACGCCTCGGCCATGGTGGCAAAACTGTTTCGGGGTTCCCATTTTGAGGACTTCCGCAATTGATCATTCCTCCAATATTTAAGTCAGGGGTACACGGAGGGGGGGGGGCGCTAGAGCACCCCATGAGCCTTGGAGAAGGTTCGTCTAAGGCCTCTTGCCTTCGTCAAATCCCCTTTTCCTTTGTCAAGGTTCGTCAAGGGTTCTGCTAGCTTGAAGGTTCGTCAATGGTGCTTTGGGGGTCCGCCCGTCGCGGGGTTCCCTCAGTTTGTCCCCTATAGGTGGTGTGATGCAGGGTTTCCATGGCGGGCTGACCATTTGGAACAACCTACTTACCTACTGTGCACCACGCTCTGCTTTGCTTTCAGAAGCGAGTCTTGTGGAAGTGACTTGGGCAACCCAAGTCAGCTTTTATGTTTAAAACCCCGAACTGGCGTCAGCAAGCAATGCCAAACTACCCTGGTGCAGGGCATACATTTGCATGTTGGAACTTCACCTCAAGCCGCCAATGCGAAAACAAAAACGGGTAGATGCCATGTGCTCCCAAAGAACAGTTCCCATAAGCTTCACTTGGATGTGTCATGCACCACCTTGATTTCAGGCTTACCTTCAACGTGGTCTTGTACTATGCGACCAGGCGTGAGCCCTCATCAGAACCTCCCGTAGTAGCTGGCGTGAGTTGCATGATGGCTCCCTGAAGACACTGGTTCAGGCAGATACTGTGACAGCATCCAGCATCCATGAGTTCATCCTTTTGCAAGCTAGTTACCGGACAAAGCACAGCTGACACTCTCTGGCAGCCACTTTCATGGAACTCTGCACCGCGCAGGTTTTTAACAGGTATTTCAGTGTGGTGTGCGAGTGGACATCAGCAGCAAACCTGGCCAGGTTGATCTTCGTGAACAGCTGGTTTGCAGTCCTCATTCATGAGCCTTGAGCTGAGCCAGACAAGCATTGTCGGGCGCGGCGCGATGCTTACCGACCTCACAAGGTACCAGAAGACCAGGGTGGCTGCTGGCTACTCCACGAAGAAGTACCGGTGGAAGGACTCAGTTTGCACTCAGCTGAGCGTTTGTCTCCATCGATTGCAAATGGATCTGATGCGCGCGTTGTGAAGAACTGTTTGAAGGAATACGACTACGTGGGTGTCCAACTCAGTTGCAGACGCCAGGCCTCTGCGGTTCTATGCAAGTCGTCAGCATGCTCAGTGTGTGGCTTCTACTGCCTGCGTTGCAGGGCATGCAAGGCAACATTCAGGCATGTTAATGTGCTTATACCCAGAGCTCTGCAAGTCCATGTGCCAAGTTTGGTGCCTTCCGTGGCCACGCTCGCCGCGTTTACCGTCCCAGTGAAGCATGAAAGGACATAATCGCGTGCACATAGTTGGAGCTATTGTCCAAACATCCTTCTCTGTCTGCTTAGTGTGAGCAGCAGAAGTGCAAAAGAGGCACTAGCAACTTACTAGTAGATTGTAACCGGTGTCTGCTCAGAAGCTATTTGCAAGAGTTGCACGTGCCTCTAAGACGTCATCGCACCAAGCCTTGTTTGTGCGGGCTTGTGAAGAACAAGAGGCCTAAGCAGAGCCGCCTGGTTTCAGCAAGAAATGCAGAAAAGTACGCGGAGATCATGCATCACACAGACCACTACATTTGCCAGGCCGTTCAAGAACTTGTACCTCAACTTTCTTCGACCGAAGATCGAGAAGCTGCATGCTTGACAACTTTATGTATCAGGATGTGTGCTTGTGCTGTCTGGGCTTCTGCGGGCTTTGAGAATATTTCAGTTTGTCGACGCTAATCGACAGTTGATGTGAGCACGCACTCCTTTTCCAATGTCGAGGCAGGCACTGTATTGTGCTCCGGCAAGCAAGTGCAACAGCATGCGGCGAAGAAGGGCAAGCAATATGTGCAAGTACTTGCGGAAGACAAACAAGGGTCCTTTTGTCTCTCTACCCGGTGGTTGGTCAGACATGACGAGTAGAAGCATCAATAGCGACTATCAGTGCTAAGCTAAGCATGCTAGTCTAGTTGATAGCCCAATTAGGATAGTAGCCAAACAGAAGTTACCCTTGGTAGCCAACAGCCTTTAACCGATGTCCTGCACCATGCCAAGGCCAGCAAACTTGCAGTCGCCCGACGATGAGTAAATGCGTCGCAGCATTCGGCTTGTCAGAGGCCCCATTGTCAACAGGACTGGCAGGCTTCAAATAGTGAAGTCATTAACCACATCTAGAAGATGTAGATGTATCATGATGTATCCAATCAAATGCTGCCTCGCTCTCACAGCTGGAGATGCAGAGGTGGTGCGCGGCTAGCGGCTCCCTGAGCATTGGTGCGACAAGCCATGTCCCCCCGTTTACAGCTGCCCAGCTGTTGAATCACCCAGATGCATTCAGCCAATTTCCAGGCTGCTCACTGGGCTTTGTAGGACTCAGGTGAGGCTGACGTGCAGACCCAGAAAAGTACCCCAGGCCAGAAGGCTTGCGGATTATACAAGATTCTATCATCTTTGATTCAACTTCAACATCAAGGGTTTTTAGCCCTTGGGGCTCCCACCTCAACCTCCACTGCACGGCACGTCTTCTTCACGCTTAGGACCTGTGGCGAAACTGCCAGGGCTGCATGCTTTCCAAAGATAGTCTGAGGGTGGTGCTTGCGTTGGTCCTGTGTAGTCACCGCCGCGGAGGCGAGGCCATGCAGATGAAGCCCTTCTAGCAGTCCTGGTTTCGATAACAGAGCACGCAAGCAGATTGATATCCTAGGTAGTATGCAGCTTAGTCTTTTCTGTGGACCATGCAATGCTTGTACTGCTCCCAGCAAGTTGATCACATTTGTCACCGACAGCACGCTGGAGCGCTTTGGGACTTTCAATTAAATAGTGTTTCTTTCGTTTTTGCTGCAGTCGGTGGATCCGCGGGGGTCTCGGCCAAAGTTGATTCGTATTCCGAAGATCCGAAAGCGATCGCCGGCATCCTCGTGTTGCAAAAGACAGGCCGCAGCACATAAGTCGTTGGGAAGCCTCCCCTTGCCTTTTTAGAGATGGAAGCCTGCTTAACAGTGCGCGGAGCCCTCAACATTCAGAGAGGACCAAGCTTTTAGCTCCAAACCGCACGGTTGAAGGATCTGCCCAGTTTTTGCTTGCAGGCATTCTCTTGAGCCATTGCCCTGACTCAAGGGCATAGGAGATCTACATAAGTTAGCATGATGGAAGAGCCTGGCATCAGGTTGGCACCTGTCACCCCTAGGACTGCTAGGCGTTCTCGATTGCAACTACACAAACTGCAAACGCGGGCAGAGCCCTTGGTTCTTTGAACTGAAATGGGTGACGAGCATGACTCCGTGTTTTTCCAGCATGTTGCGCTGCTCACGCAGGAGACCAAACCTTCAAAGTGTTCCTGCAAAGCTGGAGTGTGTCAGGCGCATGTTCGGTAAAGGCTGTAGCTGCCGTGGCTTTAAACTCTACATAAAGCACCAAACTCTGCACTCAAGACTGGGAAAGCACTCAACACTGGGAGAGCAAGGAGTACTCGCGCCTGCGTTCTGAGAACCAGAACCTTCAGCACGCCTTGGCTCAGCTGAGCCAACACGACCCTTGGAGTCAAAAGTTCTTGTTTTCAGTGGTCTCATACTAGGAGTCATTCTTTCTGAGAGGGCGTAAGGATGCAAGTGAGCACAGAAAGCTGGGTGTTTAAGACCAGGGCGCTTGAATTAGTTGTGAAAGCAGGATAGCCTTCCCCTGGTGCAAGATTTTCCTGAAAGATCGCCGTACTGTTGCCCTGTCTGCCGCTTCATTTCACTGAGGCTAAGGACGTGGAGACATCAGCAGTTTCACCTGTCCTGCTGGCAGAGGCAGGTTCTGCGCATACCGCTCTTTCTTTCATGCTTGAAATTCTCGTCACCTGACCGTTGAGAAACACAGGCTTTCCATGGGACCGAGGACAACCAGGTCACTGAGGTCACCGAGTCAACTCAGGCTTGAGATGCCTCGAGCTGCGTGTTCCAACGTTCACGAATCTGCTTGGCCCAATGCCTGCGGCCCTACGCGTCCAGGCAGAGCAGATCATTACCGAAACTGAGACTACAGTCGGAGACCGCGTGCGTGACTTGCTTGCAAGTCCCGCGCAGTCCTTCTTTCGAGTGACATTCGGGTGACCTTTTTCCTCCTGTTTCTGTTTCATGGTGTTCAGGCATGTCAGGCCTTTAACTCAAGTACTCAAGTAGATTTTTTCCAGTACCTGTTTCAGATGGTCACGTTCCAAACATTTGTTGGGCTCGGAAGGGGAGCGGATGATCTACATCGCGTGCTGGCGGATTTCGACGCCAGAAGAAACCATGTCCTTCACTAGATTCCCAGCCGTCGATTCACCGAGCCAAGGTTTTCAACAGGCGGCGAACACGCTGAGTAACAGCATGGATTCGCGGGCCGGCTCCACAGCGCAGCCAAGGGAACAAGAATGAAGCAAATCACGCGGGTATGACTGTGCGACAGGTGCGCATGCAGTAGTAAGGCTAAGTGCTACATGACCTGCAGTGATGCGAAGCGGTGAGATTTCTTAAGTTGCCTGGGTCGACTCGAGGCCGCTTCCAAGATCGACTGGGATATCATGCCAGAAACGAATATGGGCCTCTCGGCTCCACGTTGAGGGGTAGTGGGCTTGCAGGTTGCATGCAACATTTGGGCGCAAGAGTCGCATGGTCCTGCCATAAGTGGTGACGGCTGGAAGATGCTGGAAGTGTCTCAGATGTTTCAGGCCGGCACGCGATCTTCAGCCAGGGCCAGCGCCTGAAGGCTGCGATCGCCGAAGACATGGTCAACGACATGCGCTACGACTCTCGAACAGAACCTGCTGAGGCTGTAGCACCCCAGAGTCCAGCAAAGCCGTAGCTCAGCTACGCGCGTTTTTATCGGTCATGCGTCATGGGACATATGTAATGTATGGTCATGGGATTCGTGTCGGGGCGTTGTTGATTGGAAAACGATGACGCGCTCACCGAATTTGAATTTCCGATGACCAGTAGCCAAGAAAACAGAAAAAAACTGTACATCAGCTGAGGACGTGAAGAACATGTACAAGACAAGCGGCGCCTGAGTCTAGAAATGGGAAATGTTGGGACCTAGATTTCAAGCGTTGGTTTTTGTTTGGCATGTTTTGCAGAACGCTCGATTAACAAAAGTGCAGGATGCTTTCAGTACATTGCTCGACACCCGTGGTTTGAAAACTTCACAATGGTGGTCATCGTCACCTATGCCTTGTACATGTCCTTCGACACGGATTTGAACCAGGCAGCAATTATCACAGCCACTGCTCCATTTTTCATCATCTCTGAGCAGCTTTTTTGCTTTTATTTCACTCTGGAGCTCTTCATTCGCTTCATGGCGTTTGAGAGAAAGTGCAATAGCTTCAAAGACGCCTGGTTTGTTTTCGACTTCGCACTTGTCTTCATGATGGTTGCCGAGACCTGGGCCACTGGTCTGCATGTGTCAGGCATTTTGATCTCCAATATCCACATACTGTTGAAGCTGCTTGCGCTGTCCAGCTTCCAAGTTAAGTGGGAACAGCTCTCTCTTATAATCGGTAGAACTCAATCGCCTGTGACACCTGCTTTCGATCGCTTGTGACACCCCAGATTGCTACCACAAGCCTTTATTCTTAGCCCAAGAAGGGTAAGCCCTCAGCTCTAAGCACAACTGTAAACCCTGAAAGCCGCCAAAAGAAGGCAAACTGAGCTTCGCAAAGGAAGGTGGCCCCTAGTTCTAGACATCTCTAAGCCCCAAGGCCATGGCCAAGATGGCCAAGCACGCCCGCGCTTAAAACTCTAAATCCCATTCTTTGGCGCTGGTTTCATTCTTGCCCGAGAGGACCCTGCTTTTCCCGCATGGTGTAACAATCCACGAGCAAAAAAAAGCTAGGCGTTATGGCTAGCAAGTTTATTGCTAGCAAGCGTGGAACCCCAAAAAGAGCCGGCAGCCCTAAAAGGAGGCCAACGCACAGCTTTACAAAGAGTCTTAACCCATCAGGCGTATCACGCATAAAAAAGCCAGAGGATCAAAAACCACGCCAATCGATTGTGGGCCCGGTGTCTGGTTCATTTGGCGGTGGCATTTATTTGTGTTTGTTGGGCCTTGCTGGTTGGTAGCGCATGGAAGCGTATGATCCAGTCGTGTTTCTTTGCAAGGATTTCTGCAACGACGTTCGCCGCAGAAAACCAAGAGCACTGCCCTTGCTATTCGAAAAGTAAGCATGTGTACACAACCTTGTACTTTAATGAAAGGTGATGAACATCGTCATCCTGGCCATGGCAGGAGCAAATCCAGGGGCGAACTTTCTTGGCGATGTGTCGATCATGCGTAACCAGGGCCAAAATAATGATGGCAGATGTCAATGCAATGGTAGCCGTTGCGCTGGTGTCTGGATTTTCGTTTTGTCCACATGCTGGACCCGTGCCTTGAAGTTCGAGATACTGGCAAGTCCTTCAAGTGATAACCAAAAGAGAAGGGCTGCACAAACAGAAACTGTGCCCGTGCGTACATGCTTATGCATTGGCACATCCAGGCATTGCGCGGCTGCTGCGGCTGACTCGCCTTTTGAGGATGGCGCGGTTGATCCGGCTCTCAGATCGATTTCTAGGGACAGTAGGTATGTCACTAAGCCCGAGAACAAAGATGTCCCAGAGGTTGCCTCCACAAATATCCTGGGGCCATTACTGGAACCGAAGCAGTAGGCTTCCATCACGTAATCACCTAGAAAATGCACCCATCAAGGTTCTTCCCGGAACTGCTGATCATGGTCAAAGCAGTCTGGAGTGCAGCACGATCAGTGGGTTTCACCCTTGTTTTGCTAGGAATTTGCCTTTACGTGTCTGAGCTGAAGCAGAAATTATTTTGTCGATTTGGGTTCACAAGCAGATGTACAGCTGCAAGGGCTTACCCCTTGGTCCCGCAACCCCAGCCGGCCCCAGCCGGCCTGAGCGGACGTGAGGTTTTTGCGATAGCGTTCAGAACCACGTTGCCCAGAGAGTCATCCAATGTGGGGGAGCTATACTTCAGAAACGTGCCGGCTGCCATGCACACCCTCTTTGTGCAGGGCACTCTGCTCGATTCAATTTCCGAGTTGTTCAACGACATGATTAACGAGGAGGAGTGGGCGGGCCTGATCATTTTGTACGTTTTCATAATCATTTCTGCTGTGACCGTCATGAACATGCTGATCGGCGTCTTGTGCGTGCCTGGGATTGCAAGCCCTGGGCTTTTCTGTCGTCTCATCGTTGTCTGCACAGGTCCAGGGAAGCGTGTGTTGATTTTGTTGCTTTGCTCAGACACGTCGCTTCATGCTAACAGCTGAAGGTGCACCATTCACAACTCACAGCACACTGCTACAGCAGCAGACCCAGCTAGGTTTGTCGTTTGCAGCACGAAGCCGAACGCAGCCATGTCGGAAAGACACGAACCGCTGGGGATCGGAGCGGACGCGAATGCCCTTGCAGGGTGCAACGCTTCAACCAATGCTTCCACCGTGGCCAGCGATGAACTGCAAGCAGCTAGAGCGGAGGCCAATGCTCGTACAGTCTGCAACGCCGAAGCCAATGCCAGCGATGACAGGCAAGGGGCAAGAGCGGAGGCTACTGCCCTTGCAGTCTGCAACGCTGAAACTAATGCTTCCACCGTGGCCAGCGATGAACTGCAAGCAGCTAGAGCGAAGTCCAGTGCTTTTATAGTCTGGAACCCTGAAACAAGTGCCAGCAATGAACTGCAAGGAGCAAGAACGGAGGCTAATGACGTTACAGTATGCAACGTCAAAACAAAAGCTGCCACAGAGGCCTGCGATGAACCGCAAGCAGCGACAGTGGAGGCCGGTATCCTTACACTCTGCAACGCCGAAACAAATAACGCCACAGCGGCCAACGAAGAAGCGCAAGGAGCGAGAGCGGAGGCTACTGCCCCGGCAGTCTGCAACGCTGAAACGAATGCTGCCATAGCGGGCAGCGATGAACTGCAGATTGTAGGAGTGCAGTGCCATCAAGATGAAGTCAGGATCGAAGGGCATAGGTTTAAGCCAAAGCCAAAGACCAAAGTCCGCACGAGCAAGTTCAACGTGTTGAATGACCCTACAGCAAACAGGAAAGAGGCAGCCGACAAGCTTTTCGCACAGAATGCTAGGACCTACCCACTCCGGGCTGTACCAAGGGTTCAGGACTTAGAAGAGTGGCAGGGTCAGTGCCAGGATCTCATGACTACACTTTCAAAGGCTCCTGAGACCTTGACCCCAATGTGGGATGATCTTGACATCGACACTTCTGGAACCTGGCATCCTACTGTTCTTCAGATGGTGGATGATGCAATACGTGAACGCTTGCTGGAAGAGGGCTTCACAGCAGAAGACTGGGAGTTAGATCAGCAGCGATCCCGGGACCCGAAGCTGAGGAAGCGACGGGACTGCGGGCGCAAGCTTGCGCCAAAGAAGAAAGCTCGAAAGCTCCAAGGTGGGTCACAGGACGAGCAAGTGGAAGAGCTCGGCGAGCCCGGCGAGCCGGAGGAGTGGAACAAGCCGCAGCGGCACGACAAAGACGAGGAGCCGGACGAGCAGAAAGCTGAGATTGATGAAATAATGGACCTGCTGGACAAGGAGCATGCAGTTCAGGTTTGCAACTGGGCTTCCTTCCGGGCGTAGCTAGGCCCCAGCTACGCGTTTTACTAGCTGCTAGGGTATTCATATATGTCGAGCCTCGCAGGCCTCAATTGCATGTTTTGGGCTGAAATTGGTGAACCGGCGGCTGCCACTGTAATTTTGACCTTGTCAGGACTCACCTCATAGCGTTCCTTCAGAGGGTTCCAGTAGCGAGGACATCGAAAGGGAGGAGTTGGATGAGGAGGAGGAGTGCTCCTCGTCAGACGATGCAAGGGAGCGCAGAAATGCTAACCGGAAGGTTGATGAGCCCCAACTGCCTTTGGCTGAGGCTGTGCCAGACCAGCAAGAGGAACCGCCCAAACAAAAGGTCCTAGATTTGATGCAGGGTGAAGATGAGAACTGCCTTGAGATTCGTAAAGCACTTGGCCTTCCATCCTATGCAGACTTGGTTGTTTCTCGATGGGACAAGTGCAAAGCAGAGACTGCAGACATTCTGATTGACCCCGCACCGCGGAAAGGCTGGAGGAACACTGCAGCAAAGGCCTGCATGATCCATCCAAATGCTGTGCACGGAAGTGCCCATAAGAGGATGCTGCACAGAATGCTCAAAGCCGCAGCGGGCAGCACAGAGCCGCTCAGGAAAGAAGTGGAACAAGAGTGCACGCCTCCGCCTGAAATACCTGCTCAGCTGGCCGGTCTGGGATCTGAAGTTATCCTCACTGTCTCAGTATACAGTACCGACGGGCACAAGGATCAAGAATATGACATCCTGTCCACACAAACTCTGCAAGATTTGCGGGACGCCATCTACTTCGTAGATGACTGGACGTATGATGGGCCCTCTCGCCTGGATTCTGCATGCTTCTTTATTGACGGGGTTTTCTACAGTGACATGCGATTGGAGTCTGCCATAGACTATGCCGCATCACTTATTCCTTACATACAAGCCACGGGGTGCCAAGAGCTCAAGGCAACGTCCTCGCGGTCCATGTGTGCTAGATTTTGTGATCTTGCGCGGATACCTTTCGGGGAGAGGTGCGCCTATATTCGTCAGGGAAATTGTGAGCACGCAATGTACTTCACAGGAGCTCGCTTGCCTTGCAAGGACAGTGATTGTCCTTTGGTAGACGGTTACCCTTTGCTAACGTGGATGAAGAGCCACCATCGCACGCTCTGTCATGCCTGTGTTCAGAACCTTGCATTCTGGTGTGTCCATAACTCGTCACGCTGTCCACGCAATCCGGCCAAGATTTGCCAGCTTTGCTTCCGCCATTTTTTCCTTACAGCAGATGGCCAGCTTAAGTACCCAGTCGATTACAGTCTATTCCCTTATCTGCATAACGCTTGACCCTGGGCACGCAGAAAAAAGATGCATGCTTACGTGCTGTCGGGCCCAAAAAGAACGCTGGAACTCTGCAAAACCTAAGGAAGTCATCACGGCAGTCGCAGACGCCGAGAAGGAAGCTCTACAGGTTGGTGCCGCACAACTTTGGGAGTTTATGAAGATCAGGCCTCCCTGTAAAATCCTGTAAGGCCTCCATACTATCAGGGTTCGGATCCTAAACCGTGTCAACCATGTGAGCATGATTGCATGATCACAGTGCTGGTGGGCATGTTCAAGCTAGGGCAGCTAGGACTTTCTGTTCAATGATACGGCAGTCCTTGCAAGATGAGACTTTTGATGGCAGCATAATTATTAACTGTTCAATGTTTTACGTGATCAGGCACTCTTTTACGTATATTTCTACCTCTCAATCAAGGTCCTTGAGAATCCAAAGTGAACAGCTTCATGGAGCCAATAGTGTCCCAAGTCACTCCATGCAAGCATTTTGCGGATGTCATGCAAATCTGGTCGAGGTCAGCTGGACCACGGAGGTCCTGCAGACCTGCTTGCAACTGGGAGCGGATGAGAATAACGACGGCTGCATTGCCGCTGGCCTCAACTGGGAGCTGTGCAACGTGCAGCATAGGTACAGGGATTGGTGTTGCCTCAGCTTTGACTTTTAGGGTTCTTGGCAGCTTGAATGGCTTGTCGGCCCCATGTTGCCAGTCAAGCGTGCCATAATTAGTAGACAGCACAGCTCTCATGATCCATTGATCCACAGGATGTGAGAGTGCCAACTCTCAAGTCCGTGTTTCGTATGTGCATCCTCGCTTACTTGAGCCGCCTTTTCCCCTCCCCCATCTCTCTCTGCGTGTTGAGCAATAGGATTTCAACGAGTTCCAGCACATGGTCTCCAACCAGAAGGTGCGGAAAGTCCTGCGCGAAGCAGACGTAGATGTGCAAACCTTGGTCACTCAGCAGCACCTTTGTGCTTCCTGATTCCTTGGCGTATTCTTTTTGGAACGTTGGACTCGGTCCTAGCCTTGGCAAACCCATTGCCCAGCATTCTGCTTGTTACATTTCGAAGAGGCAGGCTGTCAAAATAGCTCAACAAGGAACCTCACTGCCATGTACGGGTACCAGTGTATCAGTGAACTCAGCCTTCCTACTGGTAGTAATCGTGGTTTTCCCCTTACACGTCCTATCTTGAAACCCCTCTTTGCTAGCAGTTGATCGAGCGTTCTTAAAACCCCTAGTTTAGACATTCTGGCAGGAGACCTGACCATTGGATGAACAACAGCCCAGGTCAACTTTGTGGATGTCCTTTTTGAGAACAGCGGGGATGATGGTGGCTACTACGAGAAGGCATTTCCAGCTTGGAGGTAACTGGCTTTCAAGGCCTTGTGTCAGGCTTAGACCAGGGGTCCTGAACAGCTTGAGCAGGTTGAAGCATGAAAGAATGGCACAGCTTGAGTGCCACAATTCTTTATTCCGTCGATATTGCTTTGGCTGGGTACGTGAAGTGGTGCCTACATTTTTTTCAGGCATGAAAGCATCATGTTGGGATCGGTGACGTGCAGTGCCCCAACGTTGCAGCCCATGGCAAAGAAGTGACTTGAGGCGCTGGATGATTAAAAGGGCTTGTCATAGCGTGGACAGGAAACCATTAGCCCCAGGATGCCAATAAGATCCAATAAGTCCCTCATCTGGCCTGGTACAGATAGACATTTCAGATGCCACCTGTCCTGGCATCTTCAGTGCCTCTTGGACAGTTGGGCAGACCAGCACAGAAACAAACCTGCCGAATCCCATGTCCTGATCCCTAAGCTATAGCTCGTTTGGTGCCTTTGAAGGTGCCGTTCTCTGAGCTCCTCGGCTGTTACAACTGCAGTTGTGGTAGCTTTCAACAGGAGAGACGTTGATCAAATGTGCTCATGCTTTGCGATCAAGATGGCAAGATGACACTTGCTGTGGCACAGCCATGTCCGCTGAATGCCTTCATGACATGCGTTCGCATTGTACACCTGAAATCAGGGTCCACCGCGTAAGAGATCGCCGCTATGATAGGCTCCCTCCAAGAGGCGACCCCCACAGCTTTAAGAACCCCAAGAGTCCCATATATATATATTCTTTACACTGACTGAAGAGCTGGCCTACTGGTCTTTCCTTACAGTTCGCTCTCAGGTTCATGGAGCGGCTCCTGAAGCTTCGCGGGAGCAACACCGCCACAGTCAAAGACTTGGCCACCCAGCGCTGTTTCGGGTTTGGGGCTATAAGCTTTTTGATGAGCGTGGCTTCTGGGGTCATGGGCGTGTGTTTGTTTTGTTGGGCCCCGTAGACTCCACAACAAGGAAAACTACACGTTCCGAGGTATTCAGGGGCGCCGTTGATCATTCTTTGTATTTGCAGTTTGGATTGCTGTGTGTTGGGCCAGGGTTTTTGCAAACGACATATGACACCATGAACTGTGGCACCAGTGTTCTCAGCTTGCGGGCTCTATCGATTCTTGTTGCCGTCCGAGGGCCTTGTTAGGAGAGTCACCTTGTTGAAGCTCAACAGCCTCAGGTGGACTTGAGAAAATGGATGATGAGAGAGCTCTTGGATCTCAAGACGCAGGTGGTGCGCACAGCATCCCGCATCGAGACATCGCGTGTCGAGACGACCCCTGGTTGCACCTGAAGGTTTTTTTGGACAGCTTGGGGCTGCGTCGGCGTGCTCCAGCGGCTGTAGGTCTTGGGATGCCCACGGCAATCTTGCCTTGAACTAAGGCCCAAAAGCAAACCTCGATCATCTTCAGCCCCGTACGGCTTACCCTTCGAATTCGTGATGCAGGTCTAGTCTAGACTAGCTGGAAAGATGCTCTGCCACCAGTGGAAAAGATACGGTCCATCGTGAGAGCGTGCATGCAACTGCTTTCACCTTCTGGGTCATCACGGCCTGCCCCTGCAAGACTGCAAGATACATGGTTTTGGAACTTGCTTGAGATTGGGGGTTCCCAGATCCACATGAGCGACAGGCAAAATTCTGCACTTCATCTAGTAGTTAGTCCTCACGCGATCTAGGCCTACAACCCTGGAAAACGAAGGCGTAGCCCAAAAGCAATAGCCGAAACTTGTACAGCAACCCTGCCAAACGAAGGGTCTTGTTTCTATATCAGTCTTTGCCGTGTACATTTTGCCGATAGCTCATTTGAAGTCTTGACTGCAACTATCATCAGCTTGGACCCCCGGAATTTCTGTCGAATTCCGCAAACATCAAGTAGAACATCCCTGCACATCTCACAAGCAGGGTCGGACCAAGTACCCTCGCGCGTCCGTTCGTGCGCCGCATGCAGCCAGATGCAATTTACCCGCAAGGTGCTAAGCATGCCATTCGCGGTCGTTCAGGCTCGGAAGCAGTGCGGATATGGTCCAATTAGTGCAAAGCACAGCCAAGCGTGTTTCCCTTGACGCCATGGAGGCTGGATTACACAGCCGCAAGTCCTTCGTTCAGGTGTGCCCATTTCAGCGTTCTTTCCCTGCATCAGCAGGCAATTGGGGAGACGTCGTACGCAATTGATGGTTGTGAAGACTTACTGCGCATGCTGGACGCAACGTGACTGAAAAGTGCTGACAACAGATGACGTGTAATGACCCGTGATACCTCTCAAGTAGAAGCCCGCTCTGCCAGCTGATATAACAACACAAGACTGTACGCCTAAACCTAGCTGTGAAATTGTACGGTGCAGTTTGCACCGCAGCGGCCAAGGACCATTATGCTCAGTGGCGAGAAATCGTGGAGCAAGCATTGAGTGGAGCCCGGCCAAATGGCATGCCAAAGGCGCGATTGCACTTGCTTAGGGACGGTCAGTGCGCATGACAGGACTTCCTGTGGGCTCGCAAACAGCTTGCGCACCCTTTTTGCCACGCAGCCGAATGAATTCCCTGTGATTAGCTTCAAGGAATAGTGGCAAGCAATTCATTCTTTCACCATGTGCAGCGTGCTAGCAACAATGCAGGTGCAGCTACAACCAGGCACGGCTGTGGGTAGTACACGCGCATGGGTACGGCAGGGCATCATTGCAAGATCGCTTGAAGGTTGAGCGCAAGATCGTTTGCATGTAACAACAAGATCACATATTCCATGTTTCCTGATCCTGACCACTGCAGCGACGATGTTGTCTTTATGGCAATCATTGCTTGTTCATTCATCCATTGATCCGCTCCTGTTATTCTACACTCTCTTAGTGTATCTGGTGGCTATTTTCATTACCAAGACACATCAGCTTTGGCTCTGTTCATTTACTATTTGGGCGCACCTCTTAGATCTGAGGATTACTATCATCACCCACCACTTTCATAGTTTTGCTCATACTGATTCTTGATTCTTAGTTCTGTTGCTAATGCATGAAGCCATGTTTTGCGACGGTTATCACCAAGTAATGATGCTTTCGAGCAAACATACCCGAATATCATGCGCAAGCATTCGGAATTTTGGTTGTGATGGTGGCAGTCTTGGCTTGGGATTCCTGATTTGTGCTGGTTGTTTGTACTCGCAGCAAAGGGTCTTGGCTGGACGAAGCTAGTTCCAAGCTGGCTTTCTCTGCGTCACGGGGCTTCAGGCCTTCCACTAGAATTCAGCACTGCAAGCGTTCAGCCGCTCGGAGCGCGCACTCTTGAGCCCTAAGCCTCAAACCCACTGACTTAGAATGCTAAACTGCAGAACATCAGCCCCAGTATTCTCCTAGGTGTCCTGAAAACAGTTTGTCATTAAACGCTAGCGCTTTCCGTCTCGGCTGTTGCAAAGAAGAGCTTCTCACCTGGGTCGAAGCTGTCTTTATGCTTGGTGAGGATATCTCCCCAGTACGATGGCTAGCAGATGGCTGGGACTGTGATTTCCCAAGATTAAAGCTGCCTCACGCAGTACACGCCAGAAGCTGCTCTGGGTAACCCCCTGTAATCAAAAGTAAATTATGCAAACCCATGTAAACAGAAGTAATCCGGGAACTTTCGGGAGTACCTGGCTTCCCAAAAAAGGCAGATGGGGCAGGTCTTACAATAGGATGGAGAAGTCCCAGTCGTGCTCTTCTTCTTATTTGCGTTGCTGGGTAGAAATACCCATGCCTGGGCTCCTCCAGCCTGCAGTCCATGCGACAATGCCCCTATAGCCCTTATATAGCCCCTATATTCCTTGGCTCTCATTGCAGGTAAGCTTGATCACATTGGAAAGACGTTTCAGCCAGCTGTGGAAAGCAACGACCCGCTGCCTGCATTTTGGCAGCATATGGTTCTAAGACTTTAAGAGAAGAACGGCATGACCTGTGATAGACAAAGACGGTGCAAGGTTGACCTCCCTACGGAAAGCAACCCGGTGATCATCATCAAGGAACTTCCAGAGAAGGTCCAGTCATTTTTGTGTTTCAAGAGCAATAGGACGGAGTCCTTGTTCACGCCGGAACGCTGCCAGGCGAGCGATTGCCAATGCTCTCCGCAGGTGCCAAAAAGCCCTCAGAACGCACAGGGGAATACGCTGACATCTGAGAGCGAGCGGAGATTGAGTCAAGAGAAGTGCCCTGACTGCACTGCAAGCAGTGTCGGCTCTGCCCATGGGAATATGATTTTCTTCTGAAGCCGATCAGGGCAAGTCTTGTGTGCAGGTCCTTCAAGCCGTCTGCCGGGGCCGCAGCCATGCTCGGCATCCATGACCTTGGCGGCTTCCAGGGTTTCCTACGTCGCCGAAAGAACTACATCGACTACATGGCTGGACTTCTGGTCCTCCTGAACTCGCTGCCTGCTGCAAGATAGCCCACTGTCATCGATGTGAGGAAGCTCCTCAGTCTCGGTTCCCAGGTTTGTGATGATGTTGGAACTGGAGCTTGAAGGTCGTGCTGTGGGGGTGGTACAATTTGGCCACTTGGACTCCTCAAGTCGGTGCCCGTCAGCTCTTACCACCACCAGCTGCTTGAGGCCTGCCCAGTTCAGGGCCAGATTTGAACACCGTGGAGCCGTTATTCCGAACTATTGATGCAATGTTTGTCTCTTGGCGTGGAATGGTTTCGAACACAGGCAGACTTACATCTGCAAGATCCGGGTGGCATGCAGAAGTCAACTTTGCTTTTCAAGGTCTACATTTTCCTCGGTGAGCTGTGCGTTCGGTTAATGATCGAACGATTGCAGCGACCCGGCTGGAAACAGGAGAAGGTCGCGGTTTGTGACTTAAACTCCATTAAAGCGCTTGACCGCAGAGCCCTACTAAGATGCTTGGTAAATCTGAAAGCAGCGCTATCTTGATTCCAGCTTCCGCTCAGGTTTTTCTACGACTTTGCAAATTGGTTTGATCTGGTGCTGGTCCTCGTCGGAGTACTTCGGCGTAAGGCTGCAAAGTCTTCCAGTCTTCTAAGTATGTAGTGACGGCAGGAACTTCGTCAGAAACAACAAACTTGAGAAAGTGGGCTTTGCGCACGCGACCAGCTGCCGGCCAAGCGCAGTGTGCAGAAAGCTAGCAAGACATGCAAACCTCGCGGCATCCATCGTTGCAGTAGGTTGGCAACGAGGTAAGCTTTTTTGACAGAGTCAGAGAAACATGCGTAATTACAGAGTGAGTAGAACGATACAGCAACTCAGAGTCCTACGTTTCGCACACCAGTTCGGACGTGTTGTGCGATTTGTTCCTGACAGGCACGCATAAAGTGTGGGGTTTGTTGTGTCCCGCTGGAGGAAGCTTGTTCAAGTAAATTAGTGATCAAAGACTGAAGACAAGGTCCTGGACCTCCTCGTGCTCATGCCTCTATCTGAAACAGGAGAACCGCAAAATATTGCAGCTGGGCATTGCCATGTGTGGATAGTTCATCATGCTTTGATGCCTCTCTCAGCTGTCATGCAGCTATCACTGGGGTCAGCCTCCAACCAGGTGATGATGCGGCTCGTGCGAGTTGTGAAGTCCCTGCGAGCCATTCGGATGGTCCGCACGCTTCGGCTTTTCCGCGGATTGAACTTATTGGTCAAAGCTTGCCAGTGCCTGGACGTGCAAAATGAACCAGTACCTCTCGGACTTTCATCTTCAATCACATGGCTGGTCATGGAAAAACTGAGGTGTTTCCTGCCGTCGCTCGGATGGTCAATGGTGTTGTTGGTTGCTCGGAATTGCATTCAGATCTGCGTTGTAGCGTGCAAAGCCTGGAATTCTGGAGCAGCCTCTGGCTGTTCACGACTGCCTTTCGGGCACGTCCTGGCATTTCAACATCAAGAGAGGGTCCCAAGGTTTTCTGCATGCAGACGAGGGCTGGTGCATCAAACCAACAATTTGCCTTTGCTGCAATCCGGCGCATTCGAAAGGAAAATGGATGCTGCAGGATACAAGCGCGCAATACCATGCTGCGAAACTTCTTACGGTCTAGCTCAGGACCAAAGCTTCAATCACAGGAACTGCTGGCCCTTTGAAGAACGTAGAAGGACCCCTGTTTGCCGTTTCAAGCTTCGCTGCCTGAACACACGGCGTCCCGAACGCTGTTGGCTGTTGCGCAGCAGTTGCGAAACTGGTCAACCTAACAGTCAGTCAGCGAGTCGGTCCAATCCACGTTTTGATACTTGTGCGATGAGGGTACATCAAGCGCCGGCGCGCTAAAAGAGCCATCGGAACCCGATCCAACCAGGACAGCAGCATATGCAAGCCAGAATGCTTCCAACAAACAAGGTGTACTGTTAGCAGCTATTGACACACGCCTCAAAACTTTCAGCGCAACTTGGCAAAACCAGATGTCTACCACGTTGTAATACAAGATGCGGCACGTCAATTTGCGACATTGCAACCCATCCCACCGTTTGTTGCATTGCAACTAATTGTAAATTGCATCATACCGCTGGAAAGCTAGATGTTTGGAGTCCTTCTCTTGCGATCATGCCCATGAGTGTTGAGCTGCATGGTTGGTGGCATGGTGTGGCTGATGACGGCTGATGTCCACCGTTTTCCTTTGCCACGTAGCGACATTGGCTGGATGTTCTGGCGTTATTAAGGAACAGTTGTTGCTGCGACAAGCGTGTTGCTGAGTTGCTTGTGATACATTGTGATTTACACGTGCAGCGACTTCAGCCTGAATGTTCTCACATATTGTCATTATTTGATGATGGATGTTTCTGTTTCTCACGTTCTTCGCACTGCCCCCAGTTCGTGTTGCATTCGTGGCACGTGGCTGAAAGTTGACGCACTTTCAGCCTCAGTGATTTTAGGCTGCCAACATCCCCCAATCAGAACAAGCGGGGACATCATCATCATTCGCAATGCTGCAATGGTTGCGGGATTCATGTCGTGTCTAGCAAATTCCAACGTCCAAGTTTCTGGCAAGCTTCCCTGGTCATTCCATGAATGAGCATTTGTAAGGGATGCAATTGCAGCCACGTTTGCCCCTTTTTTCCTGAGGCTGCATCATTGGTAGTCGGCAAGGGCTTGGTAAGACTGAGGTACCTCCTTTTCAAAATCAAGCGTCAAGTCCTGCCGATTGGCTCCGCGTGTTGTAGCATCCTGAATGGAAAGGGAGCCCTTTTATTGCCCAAAACGATCCCACGCCTTGCTTTTTGTATGTTGATCTCAGTGGCGGGGTCCTTCAATGCTGCTATCTGAACGTCAGACAACGGCATGGAAGGGTGCCGCTTTTCGGCTCCCAGCCCACCACAACTAAGCTTGAGCTCTTGAGCTTGAGCCATCGTCTTGAAATTGATTGTTGCAGGCCATTAAGGGTTGGAATCACTTTGTGAACGAAAGTTGGGCAAACATGTGTCCCATGAAACATGCGAGTCTGTACAAAAAATGCAAATCTTGCTGGGCGACTTGCTCGCCGTCCACGTCGTCCCCTGACACGATGGGATGATGAACACCGTTCGTTCTATATGTTTTCCCACCCGGGCATGTCGTGCAGATTGGAAACACGAAGCCTTTGAGTTTGTCAGTGGATTTGTAAAGATGTGTTTTGCACCCTGTCTGCATTAAACATGATACTTGTTATCTGGATGTGAATGCGAACCAAATTAGTGCTGAGGCCAACACCAGCTGCAGTTCCCTACCCCCAAAACGTCAGCCCTCTGGCCCGTGACGGGCAGCCGCTTGCAGGGGCGGAATCGCGACCTGGCGTTGCCTTGGCCCATCCCGCCCAGCGCACGAGACGCCGCACATACCCTGAACTTGGCCAGGCACGGCGCTGCCGCCTTGTGGTTTTCGGAGTTGAGGTCGGAGGCCGGTGGGCCCCAGAGGCCACGGCATTTGTCCGATTGCTCGCTCGCGCCCGCGCCGCTGCCGTCCCGGCATCCCTCTGTGCAGCAACGAGAGCCGCGTGGGTCTTGCGGTGGAGCGGCATCTTGGCGGTTGCGGCGCAGCTGTGGGCAGTTTCAGTACTTTGTCCCTAATATATGCTTCACACGACATGATGATGATTGCATTCTGCGAACGCAGTGATTGCTTTCAGACAGTCATTGATTGCATGCAGAAAGATATCCAGAGTCGCCTTGGCAATGCCTTGGCTCAAGTGAACGGGTGAAAAGATCTTGCTCCGCTAAGCTTTGTGTGCTTGAGCTGTGACCCACACAGGGTTATCAGCCGTAGCTCGATAGCCATGGCGAATGATGATGCGGCTTCAGGTCGCATTTACATCAGAGACCTGCCAGAGACAGGTGCAGACTATGAGGGTTGGCGGTTCACACTGCAAAGTCAGATCTTGCTGGTGGCACCAGACCCTGTAGCTGCCATGGCTTACATGAGAGAGTTGGACGATGAATCCGTGTCTTTTGGGGATCTAGCCTCAACATTGTCCACCGACATGAACAAAACCGATGTCAATGTTTTTGCCGCAGTTGTGGCAGCATGTCAGAAGGGCAAGAAAGGACCGGAGATTCTGAAACTCACACAGTCAAGGGCACATTTCGGATGTGGTCGTCAAGCTGTCCGCATTGTTGATCAGCGACATTTGCATGAATCAACACATTTGGCCACCGAGGCCAACACCAAAATCCAAGAGCTAAGTTGTTCTGGGTTGGCGGAACTTGACAGCTACATGGCATCTTTTTCTTTGTGCCGTCATCAGGTGGGTTCCGGCGAGCACAAGCTCACCAATGCCGGTGGCATTGCGCTTTTGAAGCGCAAGCTCAAAGACATCAAGCAACTGGATGCCACGTTTGCTGTTTTCAATGCCGGCAATTCTGTTGATCTAGACGCTTTGATATGTGCCATCAATGGTGTAATCGCACATCATTCCGAAGAGATTGAAAAGCGCAAGGCGAAGAAGGCGGCAGCAGCGGCTAAGACGGCTGCGGCCATAGCAGCTGGCGGCAAGACGACCGCCACCAAGCAAACATCCTCGGCAATGAACTTCGGCATCCGTCGCCCACAATCCGCAGAGCACGCAGCGGCCATCATCACCAGCAACAGGCGTAGGGTCCTGAACATTTGGGGCGAACGTGCGATGTACCCAAAATGCCGCATCAGGATTATCCATACCCAATTCGTGAAAAGGCCATCGCAGATGTGGCGGAAACCGCACATCTCGAGTGTGTACCATCTTTGCCTCACCTTTGGTTTCAACGTAATGCTCAAAATCCAGAACATAGTAGGAATGCAGCCTGCCATAACCCACCACGACGCCAAGCCGCCCTCGCGAAGCGAACTTTTCATGTTCCTCTGCCAGGTAATAGCATGCCGTTCCAAATGGGCGAAGATTGGCTAACTCGAATGAGCGATTGAAGCGTAACTCATATGGAGATGGTGCGCCCCCAGTTCCGGGGCTGCTGGCATACACGAAAAGAAATGCCATGAAACAGAATGTCCAAAACACACATGGCACTCCCGACGCCACAAACAAGCAAGCCATGCCTTCCGCAACTGTACGGTGAAAACGCTCCGCCCTGGAATTTGTCTGGGGACGACGCGGCAAAGAATGCTCACGGCGAATCTTGTGCGACTTGAGATTTGCAGCGAATTCGCCGAATCGCCGCCGTTATCTGTACGAACAGCTTTCACCGCCTGGTTCCCATGCATGTCGTCAAACGCCGCAGCTGTCTCAGACGCCTGCTTGATGCGAAGGGCACGCGCTGCAGGATATCCTTTGGCATCATCATGAATGATCATGGCATAAACTTCATCATTGATGCTTGGTCGCGTGGGGCCTACCAAATCACAATGAATGCGTTCCCCATGGACTTGAGCAACCTGTTTTGCATCCTCAAACATTGGTTTGCGGCTAGCCGGTGCTCGGCACATCTTTGCCTGCAAGCACACCTCACAATTTGGACCCTTGGGGTAGTGAGCCAAACAATGCTGCTGAAATGGTTGGCACTGCACAACCATTGCGAGGGGAGCCGCAATTTCAGCAAATTCTGACCCATGGAGCGTCATGGAAAACTCTCGAAACATGTTTGCGAAAAATTCGTCCATGTCATGGGTTGTTCCTTGAGGCAGCAAATCTGCACCACATTCAACGGCGCTAAGTAGGAATGGGACACGATTCACCATGGTCAGCGGCACTTCGCTTGAGTCACCATCTCACCAAAAATCTGGTTGCTCGGACCACGATGGCCAGTAAAAGTGATAACCCATGTCTGTGCAAGTTTCGCCCATAGATGCCATGTTGATCTTTGACTCGGGCATGACCATTGCAGAGCGGCGTCCAATGTGGGGAACCATGGCGTCTACAATCGCCGTGGGCCGGGCTGTGTCAGCCCCAGTGTCAATGTCGCAGTCCGCACCCTGCATGGTTTCCCATATGGCATCGTCAGCATTATCGCCCATGATGCAAAATTGGCTCGCCCCAGAATCAAGGGCCCATGCTGCAGCTGCAAAATGTTGGAAAGCATCCGATTCGGTGCTAACATTCCATGCTGCGCCCCCGAAACGCTTGGTCAAAAACTCCGGGAATGCTTTTGCAAGTACGTCAAGGTCCTGGCCTGGCCCCCACTGATGAAGCACCCAATCCTGGAGGCACCTTCGCTGCAAAGTCTGCTCTGTACGCCGTGCTTTTGGGGTTCAACCAGCACTTTTTGTGCTGTGTGTCCGAGCTTGTGGCCATGCTCGCAGGGCTTGTCATTGCCCTTCTTGCTCTTTTGCTTACCTTTGCCCCCTTGGGACGTCGGCATGTGGATGGTCCCGGCTGTCTCCGTGGTCGATGCGGTTTTCACGCCTTCTTAGATGCGCAGGGTTCGTCGGGCCCTGCGGACGGTGACACTAGCATCAACTACTCCCCGAGCAGCCGCGATGGGGGCGTCATCGACTCCTCCACGATTTTTTCCTCCACGGCTTCTTCGAGTTCCAGCCGTCCCATGTCCAACGATGAGCCCGATGATGACGACATGGGCCCACCCTCTGACGATGACGGAGATGGGCGTGCGGATGACAGGATCGGAAGACCTCGATGGCGATCTGATTTCTTCAATCAACCAGTGCCAAGTGACAGTCAACCAATGCCAAGTGAACCCTTGCACAATTATGGTCCGCATTTTGATGCCAGCATGGATAGTGGATGATAGTGGCGTGGTACCACCCCGGCTTGGCCTGGCACCATCAACTCCGGGGTCGGACCCTGATGCTTCATCGAGTGGGCGGTCGCGCTTACGTCGTGGGTCCCATCCTTCCGATGCTGATTCTGAAGGTGCGTCTCAAGGCCCACCATTGGTGGGTACATCGGACCCGTCAGATGCTGATTCGGAGCGTTCACCAATGGTACATGAAGCCAATCGGTCAAGCACGGAGCTGCGGCCAGCTGGTGTACACAGTTCCGACGGTGATTCCGAGAGGTCACGTGAGCAGGCACCGAGCCACAGTGCGATACAAACGCAGCACGCGCGGTTATCCACAAGGAGAAGGAGGCTGCACACCATGCATCGAAAAGAACATGGGACCCAGAAGCCTGTGAATGGGAAACCGCCATTGCAAAGTATGGCCCCGATGTGGAATTTGTGCAGGCGAACCTCATTTTGGGAATCAAGCATTATGAAATGGATTGCTCGCAACACCGGTTCAAAGCCCGTATAGTGGCACTTGGGGACAACGCGCGTGACATCTATTCCCGGCTGGTAGAGGAAGACCAGCTGCACGGTCGTCCCATCACACTTGAAGGGTCACGGGCTCTTGATTGCTATGCTGGATTGCAGCCTGCAGGCGATTGTCAAACTGCAGATGCTGATGGTGCTTATTTGCAAGCTCGATTACAGGGAAAGCCAAAGGTTATTTGTCTGCCGCACGAATTTCGAGCACAATCCGAGCTGCAGATGCGTTGTCCAGTGCATTTGTTGTACATGGCCATTTATGGGCTCACACGTTCAAACAGTGACTCATGCTGATGACAGATTGCTTTTGAAGCAGTGGATTCAAGCACTTGATATTGAGCGTCCCATTTTCAAGAAAGATTTCGGCGGGTACATTGTGGGCATGGGCCGTTTTGTCGATGATTTCAAAGTGGCAGGGCATGAGCTTGTGCTTTCACAAGCTTGGGCCGAAATTTTCGAATGTTTTGAGTTTGCAGAATCGGCGGGGTTGAGAACCATGTGCAATGCAAAATTGCGAGTAGCACCAAAAATAACCCATCAATCTATGCAATGCAACATCCTGTCGTCAGGCTTTGTCGTTCTGGCACAGGCTGTTCGCGTCCGTCCAAACATTGACACATGCGCTGCCAGGGGTTCCTATTGTGTTAGCGGGGGAAAGTAATGTCTGGTTTCCCGGTTTAGTTGATGACCGCCCCCCTGGGCCCATGGACCGTTCATGTGTGGAACAAATCCGTTTACTGATGAGTACTTTTGGTTTGGAATTGCGTAACCCGCGTAATGTCCCCACACATCGGCGCGGAGCTGCCCTGGACCTTGTGCTGGCCACGCCGAACACAGTCCAAACTGTTGAAGTTCATGATGGTGAGCAGTGTTCGTGTCCAGCGCAATCTATATGTTGTCCGCTTCCGGGCAGTGACCACTATGCACTAACAATTTCACTGACCCAAGGGGTCAAAATTGACCCGCTACAAATTATTGAAATCACAGCATGCTCAAATGCAATCATGGTCCCAACAGGGGCGCAATCTTTTGCATGATGCCCCCCACCTCATTTCGCATAGTGCGCGTCGGGAAGCACTTGATAATTTATACGCGAAGTTGTTGCACATAATTTGGGGGAGTGATCCTGGTTTGTACTGACCATGTTGCGGCAGGAACCCCAAGCGGCAGCCGGAGTGGTGGAACAATGCTTGCATGAACGCACTCCTTGCAAGGAACGCCGCGTGGCGTGAGCGTCGACGGCATCCTTCGCCAGCCACGGACACAACGTTCAGGGTAGCCCGGAATAGGTTCCATAGGGTTGTACGCAATGCTAAGCGTTGGTTTTGGTCGTCTTGGCTGAATGATC